AGAGCCTGCCCTCGTCCCTTTTGTAAGCGAGCCGAAGCACACCGTCCCGGTGGATCACTTTTCGCTGCGATGTTTGCGGGCCAGGCCGGGCGCCAGGCGTTCCGCAAGGACGGGGAAGCGGGCAGGCCGGGGCGGGGGCGGAGGCGGCGGCGCCAGACCAGCCCCAACAGCGAAGCGGCTGCTTGTTTCTCGGGGCCGGTCGAGTTAACGCACGGAGCTGTTTTTACCCCGCCCCCACCCCGCCACCCGCCCCGAGTAGCCGCCGCCGACCCGCACGACCTGTTTCTTTCCAACAATCGTGGACGACGCTGCCTTCGTTGCCGAGAATGCTCTATTTTTTCTACGGAGCGTTGGGTTGGAAAAAACGTTAGGGCAATGGACAGCAATATTGATATCAATAGCGGGTAAAGTCCAGTGAAAGGTTTTGCACAACCAACGTCTGCGTTAACGTTCGTTACCATTCCAACGTCTCTTTTGGAGCACGTTGATGAAACCGGCCCTTCGTCTCATAGATGTTTTAATCTTAATCACAATTATTTCCCGAGACCATTCAGACTTTCAAAATCTTTGATCTTACTTTTTGATTTTTGTTAATGTAAGCTGTAAACATGGCAGGCGAATGGAAGAGTTTTAAACAATTTGAGGCAGTCTCTCAACTCCAGTTTGTTCAGTTGGAAGGCTATTAAAGCTGACAACTCTTTCGTGTCACCATATTATTCTGATGGGTTTGATAACAGTGTCACGGATCTGAAAAATTCATGGCGGAGAATAAGAAAGGAAGTGCATCAAGTGATTTGAATACAGAATAGGAAGAGACAGCCGCCTGTCTGTATTAGTGTTGATTCAAAGACAAAATACATCGATGCTCAAAATTAAAATGTCGATGTAAAATCATCGATTTTTTAAAACTGGATTAGCAATCATTGAAGTTTACGCGGAAATGAGATTTAATTTGAAAGTGGCCTCGTTTATTAATTTTAAACTGAGATTTAACTGCCCAAATAAAGTTAAAAAAATCATCAGAACAATTAACAAAACTTGGGTTATCTGATTGGATAACTCAAAAATGATATAGGTTTCTTTGCAAATGAAAACTCTATTTTCCTTACTTTTCACACTTAGTTACTTTGGTGAGAATATTATTCAATTTATGGATATCTGGAATTCTATATAAATTTATTATAGAATTTCGTTACGAGAACATCGTTACGTTATCGATCACGTAAAAACACGAACACAACACATAAATATTACAAAAACATGGGCTTAAAAAATCGATGATTTTATGAAAATATTGACGTTTTGAGAACATGAGTGTGAGAGCTCAGGACGCATCAGTTCATCAGTGTGAGACATCAGGACATCAGTGTGAGAGCTCTCAACTTCGTTTTGCTATCATTTGAGACGATAACATTCTTGGTGAAAAAACAATTATTAAATTGTGCAGTTTTGTTAGTTAAAATTACATAATACATTTTTAAAAGAGGCTACTGCCTTAAAATATTGTTTGAGCTACAGTGAGAATAAAGGAAAAAATTGAAAAAATAAAAAATATGTCGATACACAGCAGTATACCGTAGAACTTAAAAACAGTGAAATGCGGCCCTTGTAGCTAGAAATACGGTAGATTGCTCATTTAAATAAGTGGGCAAATCATTTCACAGCACAGATCATTGCGTTTGACACCCAGGCATTCAATCTACGCGCCGCGTCGACCCCGCTCCGCCTTCTCCCCACTAATTGCACTTACGGCGCTCTCGCTAGCAGATGACTGGCTCGTAAGTGCAGAATGCCCGCGGGAGCAGGCGTTATGCAGGCCTGCGGTAAACGAACGCACTGACAAAATGAGTGCATGGACGTAACCTGCAGTTATATTGTCGGCAGTGGCCAAATAGTAGCCGTCAAAGCGGTCCGTTCTTATAGTTACCTCTCTCTGTATATGGATAGATTACTACAAAAAGGGACCGCTTTGACATCTACTCCTCACAACATAACTGCACGTGCGCTGAATTCGCAAGTGATTTCGTTTCAGTTAGCTCATTTCTATACGGCTTCATCACCGTCTATCGCAATGCCATCGTCCTACTAGTTCATTTGTTTCCCGTCCTGTCAAACGAGTCCCTTCTTAGAGTAACTCCTCTCTACTCCACCGCACCGTGAAGAGCGGTAACTCTCCCACTGAAGGCCGCCACCGACCGCCGCAGCCGTGGGGGCGGAGGCGAAGGGGAGCTCGGTCGAGGCACGTGGGCGGCGGCCGCTGTCCCCTCGCGACGCGATCGCCGTTTCCGCCGCCGCCGCCGTCGCGCTGGCGCGTGGGCGCCTTCGACCCTCGCCGCCTCTTGGCCGCCCCTGCGTCCTCTATTGCTCCGTTGCGGCCGCGCGCCGCCCGCCACTTCGGCCGCCGCCGTTACTTAATTCTCTCATTGAAAATCTACTACGTACATTGGAAGATCCAGGGGTTGGGCCCCCGGGATCATGAGCCCCCCCCCCCTCAAGCAAAACATGCGGAAGAAATCGAATCTTTGATTGATTAGTGATTCCGACAACTGTCTAGGTGCCGTAAGTGCAATGCGTGTTTTATTGCGAGACGTGGCAGAGATCTTCCCTCGCCGTACGGAGAGATCCGGCGGCGACCTACATGTTGACTGACGTGGTATTCTACAACCAGGCGCCTCTCACCAGCGGAGTACCGCCCCGGCCTGGACAAACTCTTAATCTCCCGGATGAATGGTAGAGTAGTGCATTTCAGTGTGTCTGTGTACGTAAGAATTGAGGATACGACACCGAAGAGGTCCATGGCCCGATTGGTAGCGTACTGCTCCGGCACTCGTCTCGTGTTGATCGGAGAAACCACGGATCACGACCGATCGGAGTGGAACTCTCCTTCAAACTCTAGGCATTTGGGGGGGGGCATCCCCTGCCTCGTGAATTCGCCACTGAGCACAGCCCTAATAACATTAATATTGAAAGTAAAATCTGCCAAAAAATATAGTTACTGATTTGCATTAAAGATGTGTTCTGTCTTTGGAAATAAGACAAGATAATGGACTTAGAAATGTCTTTTAGGTTTTTGTCGAGATAGGTTTGAGCTCAATGAAGTATGAACAAGCCTTTGGTTGCGATTATTTCTTTGCTAATACTGTAAAACCCCGGTAATCCGAACTAATTGGGTATGTGGTCTGTCCGGATTCGGAAAGTTCGGATTATACGAAAAAATGTACCGTACACATACAAATGCATCTATGGTATTACCAGACAATGCAAACTTGGCGTGCATTGTGAGAAAATTGCAACGTAGCGCACCGTAGAATTTTATTTATTTGTTTATTTTCTCCTCTATCCCACATCTTCTTCAGCTTATCCAAAATTACGGATTTGCGGGGTTCTACTGTACGATCTTCGAGTGCGCAATTTCCCAGAAGCAGAGGGTAAGTTTGATAATTCACGGCAAAGGTCACAGAGGTCACTGGAGCGCAGATTGTTTTGCATTGTTTCATAGAAAGACGATTCCAGAAACTTTCATTTGCAAGTCGTATTTAAAATATTCCATTTCGATATGTCAATAAATAACTAGTGGTGCTGATACAGCACGTACTTTCTCGCCTGTTCTTTCAGGCAAAATTATGCGAAAATAATTCAAAATTTCGAAATATTTAACGTGACCTTATTTCAAAATCTATCTTTAAGCTACAGATTTCATTAAGGGAAAAAAACACTATCTTTATAACTGTAGTTGAAAGAATAGACGAAAAAAAATTTAATTTTTGCAATTTTCGAAAATTCAGTTTTCAACCAAAAATAAGACCGGCCCAATTCTCTTAAACGTCGTCCACACTATCCCACAACAAAATTTAATCAAAAACGATGGAGACGTTTTCTTTTAAAAAAAAATCAATTCAATGGTCCGCGACTTCAGCCAGATCGAGGGATAACAATTTTGTACAAAATCGGCTGAACGGTTTTAATCGTTAGCATTGTTCACGGACGGACGAACGGACATATTGCATATTACTGTCATTTAATTTTTCATTATAAAGGTCCCACAAACATGGATTCCCTACACGTTAGAACAACACTACACGTTAGAATTTTTTCCCTCGATTTAACAACTTGATTTATCCTCTTTTTTGTTACCAGTACTCTGTAATAGGAGTTTTCTGTCAAAAATTCGCATAACTTTCTCTCTACTTCGTAGAAAGAAAAAAAAGAAACGAAATGTTTATTAATTGGTAAAATTTGTGAAAATATGTAACCATTTTCAACTATGTAAAATAAAAAATAGCTTTAATGCATTCAAAATGTGATAAAACGTGTATTTACAAGAAAATCCATTCCCTAGATTTTACTTAAAATGATTTTGTGCTTTCAGAAGTGGACATTAAAGCAAAAGAAATAAAGTGAAAAGTATGTTTGGTTTTACACGTGTTCTTTATGTTGTCCAAGTATTGTGTTTCTGTGAAATGTTAAATTTTCTCTTTTAAAGAAGAAAGTTCATGTTAAATTGAAAAGAAAGCTTTAAGAAAATAATTTTATTTCTCATTTGTATGAAAGGCCTTATTAACAGCTCCCCATGATTTTTGTGGCATAACTTATAATTTTAACCTATTATTGTTTAATTACAAGAACGTACTAAGAAATGTGTTTTCGTAGTACTTAAGTGCAAATTTGTGATCAAAACAGACTTACAATCTGAAAACATTAGCCACAACAACTTCAAACGATTAATCTGATAACTTAAGGAATTGAGTTTGATTCTGATACATTAAAACAGATTATTTTATAATTTACTTTTTTCATAAATAAGTTTCTTTCACTAACATAATTCTTCTCTTTGTTTGTTGCAGTGTGCCAAGGGTTGTATGTCATGGCATAAGGCTTTGGAGTTTCAAAATACAAGTTGTCAGAGTGTTTGTGTAAGTATTTCAATGGATTATGGTACAAATTGTAATTATTGAAAATTATTTAAATAATTGATGTTTTGATTTATTCATTTGTTGCAGAATGGTACTCAAGATCCATTACCTCCCAAAGAATTTTATTGTATAATGGGATGCAATGATGCATTAAATAGGTATTTCCAGAAATTGAAAGGTACATTTACTATTGAGTTAGGTACCAGCACTTATCCTTTAACTTGTCGTCAGTGAAAAATAATGATTGTGCCCTTTTCCGTAGATGAAATTGGAACTCCTCCAGCCCCTGTTCTAGTAGCTGATACACTGACAGATACATCTCTGAGTTTGGAATGGGAAGGAATGTCAAAATATAGCAACATCAGCTACTTAGTGCAATGGCGTTATGAAGAATTAGCTGGTGCTTGGCAATACTGTCGCAATCAAACTTGGGGTCCACACCCTACTATCCTTGTGGAAAATTTGCAGCCTTATACCAAATATCGAGTCAGTATTAAAATGTTACCTAACATGTAATAATATAGAAACTATAAAGTACAAAAAAGTAATACATTTTAATAATAAATTTTATAAATATTAATATAATTAAATATACATTAATAATAATTTTTTATGTTTAAAATTAATGCAAACATGAAGAAATGTTTTACATGTGTTAAAATTACTTTTATTTTATTGTCTCAATTATTGAAATCTTTGCTTTGGTGGTACTTAAAGTATTAGTACTTGATTTGAACTAAAATTCTAACACATCATGAGATAAGAAGATTAATCTAACTACATGGTTTTCAATGACAGTTCCGGATTGCTCTTCTATTGTCACCTCATCATAGTGAGCCCATTGTGTCAGAGCCAAGTGTCGTCATCAGCACGCTGCCCAGCGGTCTGCCCTCAACTGCACCTACAATAGTGAGAGCAACGGCTGTGGATTCTAGCCACATATCGGTGTCCTGGGTTCCCGGCCCCTTCCCCAACGGCCCTCTCCTCTCATACAAGCTCAAGATATCAGAGCTGCCTGATCGGTACACAGCCCTCAAGGTGAGGGGATCTTGCCTTCTTCAGAGCTTATAATTTGACGTACATCTTCTCAACACTTCAGAATATAATTTTCGTATATTTATTGTAAAATATGAAACATTTTTATATGCTTGATTCTGCCCTCAAATTTTTTCTATTTTATTTGCTGAATATTCATTGTCACACAAGTTTCATAAAATAATTCAAGAAAACAATTTCATTCTTCAGCAAAATAAATTGACAAATATGTATTATTCATTACTTTCTTTATTTATTTACTGCACTGTGCCTGTTTTTATTCTTAAAATATGGGCCTTGTTATTCTAATCAATATTATTCAAAAAATGTTTTATATTTTTCAGTTTTGTCAAATTATCTGTCAATCATACATTTTTGTGCTTTTCTTTCTGTATTTCTATTAGAAAGGTTCAAAGATTGTAATTTTAAAGATCACATGCATGCTTTTAAATAAAAATGGCTACCACGCATTTGAAATAATAGAAAATCTGAACTTGGTGAAAACTAACTTGAAATACATAGTCCCAAAGATTTCATTCAACAGGATATTTTCAAAAATTGAGATATGTCAATAAAATATTATAAATGGTTATTAAAATTCCTTTATTTTCCTAGTTTTCAGTGTACAATGTGTCTGAACATTATTTCAAATTCTCAAAAAATGTTTCATTTTCAAGAAAACATTCTGCAATCAAATTGATAATTTCAATCAAATTTATCATCTTTATATTCCCATTATTTTTATGTATTGCAGTATTTCCTGATGAATGGATTCTTTGTGGACAATGTTAAGCACAAGGGTATTACAATTTGGGACTTCAACATTTTTTGAACCTTTCTAGAAATAGTGTCCCTCTCAAGCTCTGATCTCAATTTCTCTCTACATATTTATCTCCTTATCCTATTTCAGTTCTCACAGAATCATAATTTCAAATTAATATTCATTCTGCTAATGGTTTCTAACAGAAATGGTGTGCCTGTGCATACTTGGGGGAGATAAATGCAAGATAACTAAAAAGAACAGAGCATGACAAATATTTTTTGCATGTATCCTAGACTGAAAACTGGGAAAAATAATTTTGAAATATTTGTCTTTTTTGTTTTCAATTAATGACAGCAATGCTAAAAAAACTCTTGCATCAATACGCATTTGTTTTGTTGTTCATTACTTAAAATTAGATAAATAATGCCTACAGTTCTATTTTGATAAAATTATACATATAAGAATTAACACTCAACTTTTAAAGCATTTGAGACTTGTGAAACTGGTTATATATAAAAAGGAAAAATGCAAAATTTATTCTGAATAATTGTCACTAATGTCTCAAAACAAGAAGAAATGTTCTCCAGTTTTGAAAAAATCACCTCTAACTATCTCTGAAAACTTTAAAGAGAAAGAGCCTTTTTTTGACTCAGACACATTAAATGAGAATAAATGACTGACTACCAAATCCCCGTAGACAATGATATTTTACCATTGTTACTGCAACTCGAAAATATGGTTTAAAACTGTCATTGCTGTATTAGGTAATATGAAAATGTAAAATGTTTCAGGATATTCCAGCCTCTGAAAACACAGCTTTTTATTTATTTCGAAATCTCCAAGCCAATCGGAATTATTCAATATCTTTATCAATGAGAAATAATGTTGGGGAGGGACCTGCTGCTGTCACATTTGTTACTACACCATCAGGACCAACAGGTTTGATACTTTTATATTTTTTATAACCAAAGACTTCTGCAATGGTTGTTTATTGTACATCAATTTTCTTGGCTGCAGTGAAGGACACACAACAGCCAATTCTGATTCTTGGTGCACAGCATTCAGTTATTCAGCAAGGAGCGGATATTATTTACGAGCCATATACTTTATACAACACTTCTTATGTAATAACCGGTAGGAAAAAGGATAAACTATTGTAATATTATCATAATTATATAACTATTCTAAAATAAATTATGTATTCATGATTGTATAGGAATGGCTATTCACGTTTCCCGAAGAATGTTATTTATATCTGAATCAAGTGGATATGTTTCAAGAATGTCTCTAAGTGAGTCTTCTTTATCAACAATACTGACTCCAGCACATGCCAATTTCAAACCACTGGACCTTAGTGTGGACTGGTTGAATGATCAGTTGTACATTTTGGGAGAAGTTGCTCATACATCTGGTTCCAAATGGCAAGTTGCAAGATGTGGGCTTGACGGGCGAGGTCTCACTATTGCAATGGCAGGACTTCTGACTCGACCCACACATATTGAAGTTGATCCATATAATGGGTAAGTGCATATTGAGAGAATACAAGAATTTAACTGTAAAGAATTCTTGATTTATTGCTTTCCACCATGTAATGTTACAGTTACCTCTTTTGGGTGACTCAAGGAACACCACGACCTGGATTGTATCGCCTAGATCTGGCAGACATTAGTAATGGAGTTAAACATGAAGTGCAACCTAAAATAATGTTAGAGGATCCTTTTTTGGGAGCTTTTACAGTGGATCACACTAATTTTCGTTTGCTAGTAGCAAATCACAGTCAAAACACTGTTCTTTCAGTCTCTTTAGATGGGTATGTGTTTGTGCAATTTTGATATGAAGATATATAATCATATTAATTTTTAAAGGCTTCTTTCAATAAAATAATTAATAGAATTGTCAATAAGATAGATCCATAAATATAAGAATAGTTAATCTATATAAACCTGTTCTTGACTATGCATTTCTTTTACTCTATTAACTTGAGAGATTTTTCTTTTTAAAAAAGTGATCATTTTCAAATTGCAGAAGAGAAGTAGTAGACCTGAGAGCCAATACACAACAGCCAATGTTTCAACATGTAGTATCTTTGGCAGCTGCAAATGGTCTTTTCTTCTGGACCAATGGAGTAGAAGTTTACACTGAAGAATATCATGCTGGTCGAGACAGTTATTATCACAATGCTTACCCAGACTTGTCAGACAGAGGGTTTGTAAGTGTTTGTGTGAACTTATCAACTTCACAGCCTGTGCCACTTCCAGTGAATCCACCTGTGGGAGTGCAAGCTATTCTCGGCACTGAAGTCGCTAAGATCTCATGGCAAGTCCCACATCTTGTAGGCGGCCAAGGTAAGACACAAAGAATTCATCCAAGCTGTATGAAGATACATATCATTTTAATGAATGTGATTCTAATACCAATTTTAAGCAAGATATTAATTGGATATTTTTTCAATTTCTAGGAAAAGGAGCTTGGCAAAACTGGTCATATACTCTTCTTCTGAAAGATGAAAAAAGAAAACTGACAGTATCAGCTAATAAAATTAATGGTACAACTTATACAGCTCGTAATATTCTTCCTGATACAACATATATAATTAAAGTAGCAGCTTACACTACATCAGGTCAAGGTCCTTGGTCATCAGAATTCAGAGGGAAAACACTGCGTAAAAGTCCTCGTGGACAACAATCAACTGTGCTCTGGTCAGCAGCTGAAGGCCTTCTTAAAAGTGATATTACAGGAGAAAATGTTGAGATACTTATGCACACACCAAATCTTAAGGTAATCATATTGCCATTATTATAATTTGTTAAATACCCAGAAAACTGACAATTATATTACCACAGTAAATGATGTACGAAAAAAATATCTTAAATTTTAAGTGGAGGTCTACATATAGCAGACATTTTCATACTGTGGATATATATAACATTTATATCATTATGTTTTTTCTTTCTCATTTGTGTATTACAAATCATCAAAAAATTAATACACGGAGTTTGATGGAAATGCACGTTTAGGGGGACCACGATCCCAGAAAACTTTTTTTTTTAATTTGACTGTCTGTCAACATACACCAAAACCATTCACAGAATTATCATTAAAACTGATATTCCCTGATCAATGAAAATAGCTGATGTTGTGACCCATTGAATTTGAAATGGATCTTTTCATTTTGGGGTCCCTAGAGAACATTTTCTACGTTTTCTAAAATATGGCTCCAAATATTTTCTTAAAACTTTTTTACCCACAGGAAAAAATGGTGAGCTTATAAAGATGGTGCTATTCACATTTTCAGAGACAACTTGGAAATTTTTGAAAATTGCAAAAAGTTTTTTTTCACTATTCACATATGAAGATCAACATTTGTTCCTTAATGGAACCTATTCCTCAAAATTACTTATTTAATTAACTGATTAAATAAATTTAAATAAATTTTTTAGTTATGGAAGGTACAATTTCTGGAAAAAAATAAAATTTGGGTTAAAAAAGTTACAAATAAAAAAAAATATGTAAGCAAGATTTTCTCAAAAATGGATAAAACTTGTTTTGATTGACTAAAGCATAATTCGACTAATAATATGTTTATTGACCATTAAAGCTTTTGAAATTTCAAAACTTACCAAGTTCAACACTTTTTTGACACACCGCTCAACTACATTAATAAAGATAAAGACTTCTTTCTTAATGCAAACTATTCTAAAAAATTAGAAGTGTTAATAGGATAGACAGTGCAATATTATAATATTAAATACACATTACTAATGTATGTGCTTTTGTAACACTCCTAATTCTTATGTTTAAGAACCTAATGAACTAAATATATCTGGATGTAAACCTAAACTTGGCCAATTTTCTTATATTTCAAGAACTTAATGGTTTACTTCGAAATAAACATTTAAAAAAATGAAAATAATTGTAATTAAAAATTAGTTGTATTGTGTAATAAATGATTCTCTTCCACTCTAGGATGCAACTGGAGATCATCACATCACTGATATGGCATGGTATAAAGATCTACTGTATTTAGTAACAAATACCACTCGAGTTTACTGGTACAATTTGACAAGTCATGAGCGAGGTATCCTTCATGATTTAGACTCAGTAGGCAGTATAGCAGTAGATTGGATAGGACGAAAGCTTTATTGGTCAAATCCCAAGCAGCAACTTGTAAGTGCTCCCTAAAGGTTGCAGTGAACATTTTTAATGTGAAAGGTAACAAGATCAAACAAGAAATAATGATGTCTGGATTTGTTGTAGATTTCTCGAGGAAATCTCAATGGCAGTCAGCAAGAACCACTCATACTTACAGTTGCAAAGGAGTTGCATGTAGATGCAGTTCATTCGCATATATATTGGTCTACAGGCCATGCAGTAGAATGTGCTAAATTAAACGGCCAAGATAAACAAGTCTATTACCCAGAGGAAATATTTTCAGGAAAACAAGGTATAGTTTTATAGATGCAAAAGCATATTTTTACAATTACAAGCCATCAATGATCAGTGCACAGAAAACCACATGATTCCAAAATGAATATTACACTTCCAAACCCATTTTGCATCTTAGATCACTTCAATTTATGTTTTAGTGATGGGTCTCACTTTAGACCCTGATCGAAGACTCGTTTACTGGATTGTTCGAAGCTATGAAGGTTCATTGCTATTTCAAGCTCCTACTGCAGAGCAATTTTTTCCTCGACATCAAGACACTTCACTGAAAGCACTGCCGTTACAACAGCATAATATACAAGGTAAATTTTCACAAAACTGTAAAACAAACAAAAATTTCTCAAAAATTTGAAAAAGACATTATCAAAACAGATGACAATTTCGAGAAACTATACAACTACTTTCTTTTAGGTCCACTGTGCTATTTCAGTGATCATTTACTGTGGCTTCAAGATGATCGCAATGCTGTTGTAGGAGATTTAAATGGTCAAAATACAGCCTTAATTAATAAACTTAGTCTTTCAGGTCTGCATATGGCAACTGTAGTGGACACTGCACTACAATATTTTCCTGGTGAGAATAATGAATTTCATTGTGTTTAAAAGCTATTTCATATTTTTTAATGAATATCAGGTTTGTTAACTGAGTAATGTTTCAGATCATATAGGTGAATCTGAAGTGAATGTTATTCCTGAAGCTGTAGATGTAAATTCAATCCGAATAGAGGGTACTTGGCAAGCATTCTTTATTAAATGGAATCCGATAACAAATGTGAACTATGGACAAGTCTTCTATGAACTCTCAATAAATGATCCAAACATGAGGGAGATAAAAGTAAGACATGAAATAAAATAACAACCTTTTGTAAAACTGAATATGTCTCTACCACTATTGCAAATGATTTTTAAAGATTTATTAATGAAACAACAACAAAATTTGCATTATTTGAGCAGAAAATCTAGTAGCTAAATAAAAATAAAATATTCCTTCAATGAGATTCAACAAAATCCTGTTAAGTTCAATTAAGTATTTTCTGTTGTTATGTCAGTGAGTCTTTGGATGACACTCATTAAATTTGAAAAAGTTCACATTCAAATTAATTCTTCACTTCATTCACTGCCCAACTTTGATTACTTTCAGCCAACAACAACAAATGATACTTTTGTAAGTTATGGAGATGCAGACAAACTGGAACCACATTCTCCACTTCATGTTACAATAAATGCTTTCACATATTGGGGAGCATCTCCACAAACTCGAGTGATGCTACATTCTCCTCCTTCTGTACCGTCAGCACCAACCAATCCAAGGGTATTCATTCAGTACACTCGAGACCCAGTGGACGAATACCAAGTTAGTACAGATCTACTTTAGAAATATGTTGATGAAAATTCTTAAACTGTTTCCATGTCTTTATGGTTGATATCAGAGCAATACATTACAGAAAGTTGACATTAAAACATCTCTCTTTCAAGCTCAAGAAAGTACAATGGCTTCTGATTTTGATACAGATGTTAAGATATTTTATTAAAAATGAATCAGGGAGATATGTATCTCTATTCAGCAGCATTTCCACTGAGGCTTTATAGAATTTTTTTCTTTCTTTTAGAAAATGTTTAATTTTAGTCTTTTTATCAATGACTCTTTCATCAAAATCATTACTTCTGCAAATATAATTTTTATTTTCTATGTTTTCAGAATATTACAGCTGTATTTAGATGGAATCCTCCCACACATCCTAATGGAATAATTGAAGGTTACAAAGTGGAATGTTGGTTCATTTCATTAGAAAACAACAACCAGTCTTGTGCAAATTCTCCAGCTGACACAGATAAACATGAATATATTGCTAATAATTTACTGCATCGTTCCACATATTTTTTTCAGGTAACCATTTCTGTTGAATATTAACAAAACAAACATGAAAATATAAGACATCTGTCATACTTCTTATCATATAGGTACCAAAAATAAAATAAAATAAAATAAAAATTTAAATTTAAGCCACATATTTAAAAAAATAATGAGGTATAAGTATTTAAAAGGGTCCAAACAGCTGAGGGAATAAAAGAATAAATATACATTAGGTGTTCCATCTTTCATATCTCTTAGTATGACTAAAAATACCATTAGAGAACATTTTGACACAATGTTTTGCACCATAACTTAAAAGGGATAATTAACACACATTACTCTGTAATCCTAATATAAAAGAAAATAAAGTATTAAGAAATATATTTGAGAATCAAAAACTCACAAGTTTATAAAGTCGTAAGTATATGCTAATATATAGTATTGTGTTCTGTATGCGCTAGGATTGTGCTCTTTCTTTGGACTCAAAGTGAGAAAAAAAAAAAACTTTCAAAAAGTAAAGTATACTCAATATTGTTTTGAAGTTATTTTACATTTTATTTGTTTATGTAGTTTGGTTTTCTCTAAATTCATGAGGAGCCTTAATAAGAAATGGGAAAGAAATGTTAGGAAATATTTTGATTGATATCTTTCATAAATTCTCTTACTTGTGGAGTTTTGACACTTTTAAAAAACATTCAATAAATGTGCCCAGTCAAATGAAATTGGTCTTCTGAAGATTGCAAAATCATTTCAGACTGTTGTTCACGTACTCACTAAATATCGATGCAATGTTGACAAAATGCTAAATTTGGTACTTACAAATGTTTCTCTAATGCAGTTTGTCTTCAACATGTAATTTCCTTCTTGAGAACTTACTTTACAGAATTCAAATCAACTGAGGAGAGTGTTACTGAGAGAATGAAATTTTATATTCTCATTCAAACTATCTCTTTGTCCGTTTCATTGGAAAATAATTCAGTTACTGAAGTTGGAACATAACATTGGTTGCAATTCTTCCTTCTAAATCAATTTATTCTGGAATATTGCACCAACATATTCTAAATAGCAACCTTGTTAGTCTAAAAAATAATGAAACATTGAGCCAAGTGACTTATAACCAGAATGTTAAATATCTACACTTATCAAGAATCTATTTACATGAATCATGCACAATTTCATCAAAGATTTTCATAATTCTTAATTTTCTTAGGTGCAAGCTCGGACAGCAGTAGGGTCAGGAGCCCTTTCCTTCCAAGTCCGAGCCAACACTGCAGTGGAAATGCCAGTACCAAAGTTGCTGTTATCAACACCTGACACAGTACGCATTGCTGATTGTGATAAACAGCAAAATCAAATGTTATCTAGAAGTACAGGACCAATTGACCTGGCTTCACTGAGTCATGAGAAACGCATATTCTGGTTATCAGAACTTAAAGAGCTTCTTTCTGCAAATATAGATGGACTTCAACGTAAGAAGGTAAGTTTATAAAAAAAAGTTTAAAAATCAAGTTATGGGCCAGATAATGAAGGTACTTCACACAATATATACTTCACTTTCAGCTTGTATCATTGAATGGCACAGGACTAAGCATAGCAGCTGATTGGATAGGTCGCCATTTGTACTGGGCAGAGAGTGATGAAAAGCATTCTGGGTCTAATGTTTTTCGTTTAGATTTGAGTCAACCTCTCCATGATCGCACTCACATTCAAAAGATCTTTCACAGACCAGGATTCGTTCAAAAATTGGATGTGGCACCTTTCATAAGGTTTGAATATTTCTCACTAACAACCATATACAAAGTATAAGAAAAATAAGTACCTTCCAAAAAATAATGTTGAATTTATCATATTTTTAAGCAGCATAAGGATTTTCATCAAAGTAAGTTAAGCAGTAAAGTTGCACTGAAAACTAGGCAAATCCTGACATATGTTTAGAGGATTAACTAAACTAATAATTGAGAGGATTAGGTTACATTTTTATTAAAATATAATGGAATTACTGAAAATTGAATAAAGCTTCCTTTGATAACATGTTTATTGTCTATATTTGACAGTACCCTGTATTGGATAGAAGTAAATTCTAAAGGCAATGGTTATCTAATGTCAAGCAACTTGGAAGGTCATGGAATACAATCTTTCTTTTCAGTTGGACTCCTAAGAAAGAAAAGGTAACAAAGGCTACAAATCTTTGAACAATTTATTATTCAGACATTCAATAGATGATGAAACACACCAACTAAATGTTACAGAGATGCCATGTTTTCAAGTGAAGATACTTGTTCTTGTCCTGAGAGTCCAGTTGTGGGTCATGCTATGGCTGTGGACCAAACAAATCCAGAAGCTCCAAAAATATTGTGGGTCCATGGCCAACATCAGCATATTTCAGTTGCAGATGCCCATGGTTGCCACTGCAATATTCTGGTTCATGCCAACAATGCAGGTAAGACATTAAATGTATTAGTTACCATTTGGACTATCTATTTCTAAAAGACTACATAAACTTGTAACAAGTATTGCACTTCAGCTTCGGGGTCAATGACTCCCATCTCAATCAGGTTTTTTGTCCAGTTTCTTTGATCCTTTGAGCAAATGTTGAGATTTTGCATCTTGACATAAATGTAACTTCACTATCTGTGCACATTTTCTACAGTTCAGAAGGAAATATAGTTATTCTCCATTTTCTCATGACAGTTCATCGATTGCTTTACGAAGGTCACAATTAGGAATAACAGCCATATCAGTAGCTGACTTGCCTTTGATGGTTTGAATTGTTTTCACCACTGAGGTTCCAGGTTCAATTCCCATAGAATCCCTGTAGAACTTCATGTGAAATTTGTTACGACCAAACCAGTTTGCATGCTTCACAGGGGCTAGTCCAACCCCTGCAAAGCGCCCTAAACCCTACCCCAATCCTAATTCCTTCCCAATTCTGGCCGCTGGCCACAAGGGCACGTAGTAGAAGGCGCGTACGCAGAGGTGCTACCTAATGGTCTTCTTGACAACTGACTGTGATGAGATGTGACGGTTATGACATTTTATAATATTAACAGAGGATTACTCCTGCACTGATATTAATGAAGGATTACTCCCCCTGGGGCTTGTTGTGTCAACTGAAGTCGCATCACATTAAAAAAAAGTTTTAATTACATTGGAGTGAATATATATTATTAACTCTTGCCAGAAATGCTTATTTCCATCTGGATTCAGAATTCTACTTACAAATGGGTTAGGGAAGGGATTTCAGAATTTAACAAAACATGCATAGAACATTCGCATATGTCACATAAGAGTTTTTAATGGTTTTTAATGTTACATAAATTAAATAGGTATGAAATTACTCTTACCACTATATTTATATATTAGGTACCTACAGTGCAAACATATATTTCTATAGCAGCATTAATTTCAGATTTGGATTAGTTTTAAGAATATTCCTGTGTGAATATTGGTAACAAACAGTAAATATTAGAAGTTTCATGGTAGTTAAAAATGAACTGGATGGATTAATATATGTTTTATATCTCATAAGATATAAAACTCATCTCTGTTATTTTGAATAATGATCACTCCCACCAGACTGAACAAGGTATTTAATGTGAAAGGAACACCAAAATTGATAACTTTTCTGATTTGCAGGATTACCTCCAACATCTCTTACTGCAGATCATCGTTTGGTTTATTGGTCAAATGCTTCCGAGGGAAGAATTTATTCAGTAACTAAAGATTTCCATGGTGAAGATGTAGCAAGTTTAGTAAATTCAGTCACAAAAGTTGACGTTTTAGGGGTGCAGAGAATCACAGCTTTAGGATCTCATTTGCAGCCCTATCCAGGTATCTTTTCTTGAAAAGAACAATCCAACTAAATTGTAATTTAATCAGTAAAATGCAGGACAACCTATATGAATATATTAACTTAATTAAATTGGTGCAGGATTCTTTGTTCTCTTTTTAAACAGTAAATTTTTAACTGTGTGCCTTAATCATAGTAAACTTGCAAATTAAAGTTATAACACTACTTTGCATGTATCTATGAAAACTTCAAAAAACATTTCAGATTTTTTGACATGTCATTTACAGCTTATTAAAAGGAAATAAGTATTGAAGTTGGTTTGTATTTTTCAGTTCCACACTGTCTTCTTCCTCATCAGTCACCAGAAAATTTAAGTCTTCTACATCACTCTGCACACAGTGTCACTTTGCAATTACCTGCACCACAGAGACCAGAAGAATGTGTGAATATGTCATTAGCTTCAGCACAATATATTATTTATCACTCCCCTCAAGATGAACAAATTGACTGTTCTTCAGACCCTCATTTATGCACAAAGACTGTAAGTTATGCTACATGAAATGCATAATTAACAATCCAGTAAGAATATTCATAATAACATTATATTACTTTTTCCAGATCACCTTCAGTAAAATAATGGAAATAAAAAATCTGAGACCTTTCACCAACTATAAGTTTTACATAGCTGTAAAGAATTACTATAGTGATCTCCAGGGTGATATACCACAAATTGGGTCACCAGTCGTGTTCCGCACTGGTGCAGGGGGTAAGACCAATTATATTTTTTAAGTAATAAGTATTCATTGTTTACAGCTTATTGCAACATGTATACAGTTTAATGTTAAAAAGAGTACCTCCAAATTTTGCAGTTAAAATTGACCCTGATCCCTTTTTTTTCATGCAAAGAATAGGACATTTGAAAAGCATGATCTAACTTTTAGCTGTTGATGCAAACTGAAAAGCACTTTATAAAAATAATAAAATTATTGTACTTTCATTTGGCTCATCCCTTGAAATGATGGTCAGTCCTGTTTTGCTGAGGTGTAAGTATTTAAAAGGGTCTGAGAAACAGAGGGAAGCCTTGACTGGCTACAAGGGAACCAAAGAATAAATATAAATCTGAAAGTTTTCTATCTTTCATAGCTTTTAGCTAAACTAATACATTCTTTAGGGAAGATATTGAATTATTCACCATGACTTATAAGAGAAAATAAAAGAATTAAGAAATATATTTAAGAATCAGAAACTTACAACTTCTGATCTATACAGATGTGATATATATAGACGTTTTCAAATTATTAGACTAAAGCATGTCTTTCATAAGTTCCACGATATAATTGGAGAAAAACACAGTAAAATGTGATGTCTGTGTAAGGTGCTGGCAGGTTGCACATTGTCGAAGGGACAATGAGCAATACCAATACAAAAAAATGCTTGAAAAGGAACTTTTCCCCAAATTAGAGTGGTTCCCTAATGGAGATGGCATGTTTATGCATGATGGAAGCACAGAGACACAAAGACAAAAGTGTCTTCAAGAATTTCGAAGAAAGGCAATTTAGTGTTACCATGGCCATGGACTAGCTCTGACTTGATCCCCATAGAAAATTTATGGGTATTACCAAGAGAAAAATAAGGAAATATGCAAGCAGTTGTGGGCAAACTAGAAGAAATTTGGCACCGCGACGATGAAATTAAAAACTCATGTGAAAAGTTGGTAAACATTATGCCAAACACAATAAAGTTGTTGATTAAGAACAAAGGCATTATATGTATTATATGTATGACTGTAACATGAACACAAATGTAAACGTGTAATCAATGCAAATCTTTAATGAAAAATGTCTTAGTCTAATAATTTGAACACACCTGTACTACCAATAACTGTATGCACTACGGGTATACTCATAGTTAATAATAATGTTTCAAAAAGGAAGTTTTTCGAGCAGCACGAACTCTCTTATAATTATTTTATAATTTAATAATAATAATAATAATAATAATAATAATAATAATAATAGTAACAATAATAATAATAATAATAGTATTAACCAGAAGATATTTGTATAATTCAATTATTACATATTTCATAATATGAAGGAAGTAGCACAGCTTGGGAACAATGCAATTGACTTTAGAAGAACAAATCTTTAGAATGATTTAAACATTTAATTTAACAAAGTTATAATACAATATTAAGATCTATTATTACAATATTAATAAAAAATATTCATTGTTTTAATATTCAATTGCATTTGCTAGATTATCGCATTTTTTTAAATAAAATATCTTCCTCGTGTAAAAATGCTTTAAGTATTTACTTTTTTTTCTTTTCTTCAACGATTCACATCCTATACTAATTAATAACTAATAAAAAATATAATGAAGCAGGCAGGAAGCTTGCCTGCTTCTTATGTACTACTGTGCCATGTCATGTCTCCTCTCATTGCCCCAACCCAACACTCAGCGCTCTGACCATTTCCATGAATTGAGCAAACAATTTTGGCAAACTTCTATGATTCTTTTACCTACAATTTTTTTACCTACTTTTAGTGCAAATCAACAATACAATTTTGCACACAGTCCTCTATATGTATTATCTAACAATGAAGAAAAAAGGAGAATTGTTTCAATATAACAAGTTTGTAAAATACGAAAACTGATAGCTGTCTAATACTGTCTAAAAATATCCTGTTTTTTGTTTTTATAATGACTTCTTTGTTTATTTGAATAACTTGAAACAAAACAATGTGATTTATCATGTAACAAATAATAAATTTGTCTTTAGCTCCTTCTCCACCTCGAGATGTGCAAGTATTAGTGCTGACACCAACAACAGTGAAAGTTCAGTGGCAACCTCCAGAACAATTTAATGACCATGCTGTGTCCTATGAATTACACTGGAGTACAGAAGGCACAGTAGCAGGCATTCGGCAGAAAGGAGAACAAATTGTTGGCAGACACGAATTATATTCTATTAGCAGTGACAATGAAGATGATGCATGCAGTGCAACACTCAACAAATTATTGCCAGGACAAAATTATTCCATCTCGGTATGGCAAAATTTATTTTAATAGATGATGTATACTTATACTGAATATACACACTTATACTGAAAGTGTTTGATTCTTCACCAAAATTCATTGAATCCCTTTCAATATCAAATTATGTGACAAAGACTTAATTGATTTCTTTCACAAGGTACGGGCATATTCTCAAAGCAGTGGTAAATTTTCTGAAAGTGAACCTCAAGGAGTAAGAACATTTCCAGAGCCAGATGACATTATATTGATCAATAAAACGGCTTACATGATCAGTGTATCATGGACTCCTTTACCGGATATTGCTCTCAATGGGTATAACTTTTTATCTATGAAATTACCTACATACACATTTTAAGATAATTTATTACTCAGATTTCTAATCCTTGAAATTTTTTTTCCCTACAGGTTTGAAGTACAATGTGTGGAGTTATCTTCACGAAAGACATTTGGAGTTACCAATAACACACAAATGAGTTACAGTTTCTTTAATTTACAGCCAAAGCATCAATATAGTTTTCATCTTTTGCTATTTTATCCTCTAGCTTCTGAGCCTTATCTGTGGCCTTCGGATGAAAGATTCATTTTTGAAACTCATGGTAGGCTTCACGACTTTAATTGTTCAAAATAAGGTGTAATTCACACATTTTTAGAAATAATTAGGCACTTCATTGAAGGGCTGGTTATAGGATCCGTGGATCATGCAGAACTTTTGTAAAGTAGTTTTGCTATTTGTTGTCTGCATCTCGAATCTTAATATATAAATATTAAGTTTATATATTATAAATACTAAGTTTTATTGGCCTAGAATATATTTTTATTTTTACTCATTTTAATTATTAGAGAAGGACTTGTGTAATAAGTAATAAAAAAGTTTGCTTAAATGCTTATGTTGCTACTTCATTATTTTAGGAGACAAGCCAAGCCCTCCAGGAGTGCCAGTTGTCCAACATTTGCGACGAGATGTTTATCAAGTAACATGGGAACCCTCAAATGACAATGGTGCCCATCTAGAATTGTATAGCTTGGAAGGTCGCATTCAAGGAGAAGGTAGACATCGAAGAGAAACTGGCACAATTACAGCAAGTGCTGAAAATCATACAATGGAATTAGAGCCAGACCCATCATATGAATGGATATCTTACTACAATGGCACAGGTAAAACTCTATTTGTCAAATATTTTCATTACTACTTAACATCAATAGCCGTATGCAAGATAAAATGAATCCAGATGAATAGTAGAAAATACTTAAATTTTTAAAGTAAATAAGTTGATACAGGAATTTAATAGATAGAAAAAAATATCATTACCTCTAATTTTATATTGCAGACAACTACTGGATCATTGCTGATCTCAGTTCCAGTAGCAAATACATATTTCGAGTGAGATCTCGCAATATATATGGATGGAGTGAATTCAGTGTTCCAAGTGCATCCTTTGACTTCACAGAAGCAGCAATGCTTGCAAAGGAACAGGAGCTCACAGTGGTGTTAGGAATTTCCATTCCTGTGGGAATTCTTGTTCTTTGTGTTATGGGGATGCTTACTTTCATTTATGGTAAGTGATTGAAACTTTACAAATACCTACGGTATATGACATATTGAACAAGTTATATTATACATTTAATACAACTGAAAATCTGAGTAAATTAATGTGAGCTTAATGTCGTTCATACTTTTTCTGAGATCAAGTCATCTTTTTCTGAGTCTATCCTCTTTTCGCCAGTATTTGTTAGTTCCTATTAACTTAATAGTATTAAGGTGTTCCAGTTCTTCTCTCAGCCTCTTTCCTGTTATTTCTATTCAGTTGGTGTCTCTTACTCCTCTCGGTTTGAATTTTAAGGCCTGTTTTGGGAGACGGTCTGGTTTTATTCTTAAATTATGGCTTTGCCCTTTCTGTTAGTATTTTATTGTTCAGAATGACATTTGCGGTTTTGGGTTTCTTTCATATTTTCTTGTTTCTTGCTTTGTTGCCTTGCCTTGTTACCAGAGCAGAGCTGGATTCAGAAATTTTCTAGGAGATAGGGGGGAGGATATTTTCAGTTCAGACTTTCCCCTCACCACCATGTAGATTTTCGAAATAATTTTTTAAATAACTAGCTTAAAAAACGTTAATTCATAATGGAAATACTCTTCTGGGTGTGACGTGATCAATAGTAATTGTTTTGAATTTCACTAATAATACAAAAATCTTTGGCTTTCGAGAAGGATGCCCTACCTCCTCATTTCGATCTCCACTGCATCTGAGGCTCCTCAATTATTCCAATTTATTTGTTTTGGTGGTATAAAGAGAGATTAATTTTGCAGTACCATTGTGTAATATAATGTTTTCTGGTTATCATGAATGGAAATATCTTTTTCTTGTATCCACTGATTCTGTTTTTTGCAAATTTTTATATCGAAATCTTCCTCCAGATTGTTTACTTGATGGATTCTTTGTCACCTAAGTTCAAAGTTTCATGTTCTCAGTTCAAAGAACTTTACATTTTCTTCAATCCATAGGTTCCTAAGGTTCTATTGATAAAATATAATTTTTTAACATTTTTAATGTCAGTTTGATTTCATATAATCTTTTGAATCAATGAATCTTTAATAAAAATAATATTACATAATGAATTAATATTTTGTAATGTACACACATTCTCTAAGAAACTTATTTTTCATAACATTTCTGTTCTTTCAGCTCTCCGACGAAGAGAAAAAGAAAAGAAAATTCTTACTAGTGTTGTAACAGGAGGAACAACAAGAGGACCTGATGTAGAACTAGCAACTTTACGAGAATTGCCTAGAAGAGGAAATTTTGTGTCGCAAAGCAATGCATTATACACAATGACACCAGATGTACCAGGAGATGCAGAATTAGCCTTGCTCCCTCACATCCGTAGAGATCAGATCACATTAACAAAATTTTTAGGCAGTGGTGCTTTCGGAGAAGTATTTGAGGGCATAGCTCGAAATCTAGCAGGAATGGGAGATACAGAAACTCGAGTAGCAATTAAGGTAAGACAGAAGTAAATTCTGAGAATCATTGAGCTTTCCTTCTTGCAGTAATCCTTCATTGCATGAAAACTCATTCTGATTTGTCAGAAGGAAAATGTACTTTCCAAAAAAGTACCGATTTGTGTGGTTATTTAATTTGAGTGGTTATTTAATTTTAGCAACTTATGTACTTATAATTGGAGTATTTCAAAATAATTGTTTAAGGATAGAAATTATTCCAAAAATTAGTAGTAATAATATAATGAATAATTATGCATTAAAAATCTTTTCCATTAGCATGTCCAAAACTTTTTGATTTCTGTAAAACCTAAGTTGTTCAAAGATGGAATATCTATCTAAAAAACAAATTGAAGAGTCTCCAATAAACATCATTAAATACACTGTACTTATAATCAAATATTTCCAAAATCATGTGCTAGTTTTAGAGCAGGAGGAAAGAAGAGACAATAAATTAATTTATGTGAGAAAGATAACTGTGTTATTGAAGCACTTTAAATCTTTTTTGCTTTTGTCAACTCTGATGCACTCTACGATACATGTTTGTTAAAATACTATCTTCAAAGAAAAAAGAGATATAACACTTCCAATTTTCAAACTTATTTGTTTGTAACATTTTGAAAATTTCTCATGATTCGTTTAACAACTATTACTTAATAGGAATGTAATTTTTATTTCATTGCCTAAACAGTTAAGTGTCTTTCTGGAAAATGATATTTTTTCCTTAATGTTTTTTCACAACCACACTGTAATAGCTCACATAGTTATTTATTAAATATAGACCTTTCATAACTAACAAAAATTGTTCTATTTTCTTCTTCCTAACCTTTCACACAAAAATATGTTAATTGATGTAATGCTGATATAATGACAATTTTTATTTTATATCCTCACTGGATCTAATTAAACAGTAACAGAAAAAGAATTGAGGGAGATAATTATGAAAATTTAAAGTACAAATTAATTAAAAACAAACACAGAGGCACCTCTCGTGTAGATTCTTTTTTTGTTATGATAACATCAATACTACAGAAAACACTGGTTGGAAAATATTTTCTGCACTATTTAAGCATTCCAATTTATACAGAAAGATAAAGTTACATTACCACAAATGAGGATACTATACTTTGCTCAACAAAAAAGAGATTCCTTACTGAGTAATACTATGAAGACAATGGTTTATTAGATCAGCAGAAAAATATAAATTATCTTTAAGTTCGCCAGCAATAAGTATAACAATACTTAAAAGGAGATGTGAAGAATATGGATCTATGGGAAATTTTACTGGGAGCAAAGATTATAGTAAGAAGTAAATCCTGCCAAAGTGCTAATAAATTTGTAGCCGCAATTTCAACTATTATTTTAACATTTTGAGGACAAACATAAATGAGGCCAAAGTTCAAATATTTATGTAATTATATAATATATATTTCAAAATTAGAGAAGAAAACTATTCTAAAGGAGATAAGTTATTTTAATCAATATCATTTTTAATTTTGGATGCAACAGAAATTTCAGTATTTATAGATTTTGAAAATGAGAAAATGAATGCAAAAATGAAGTACTATTCTCTGTGGGTGAAAGAAAAAATACTAAAAGGTTTTAAAACAGGATGGAAAAGGAATTCATTAAACTGACATCTAAAAAACTTTAAAAAAATATTGAATTGAATTGAAGGGTTACTTTACAGGACAAAAGATATATTTTATTGTTTAAAGTTGAAACAATACATTAGTGGATCATGTGGTAATTCTTTCTGGAAAATAAAATAACATTCAACAGCTACGGGCAAATAAGAATTTCATTTCACATTTCATACATTAGTTGTAGAGCACTTTCTTTTTGTAACAATTCAAGTGATGATAAATTCAATATTTCAGATATATTACTGATGATGATTTTGAAATGGATCTAAGAAATTAAGTTGTAAGATAAGGACCTAAAAAAATTGTTGCTTAATATAGTCTATTGATGTAATATTATAATGAGACATCCAGATTAAAGAAGCATACATAAGCTTTGTCCTAACAAGAGAGAATTATAAAGCTTTAAATAATTTCAGCATTTTTAAAACTTATACATGTTCACTTAATGGAACCTAATTATTTGACATGAATTTATGTGACTAGTTTCTTCAACTATTCATGAAATTGGAAATACATGTTCTTAAAGACTTAAGATTTGCATCACTACACAACTTCTTTACTATCAACCAATCAAATATAACATTCAAAAGGTTATAAATATTAGACGTCTTTGCAGAACAACTTTTGATTGTTAACATGGTACATTTATGCTGCCCTTGAATTTTATAAAAAGCTGTGAGAGAGTGGCAAAAATATGATCTGTAATTTATACATAACATATCAATAAGCTAATTATATGGTGCCCAAAAAAATGCTATCGACTTGCTAAAACACGTTCAGAATCTTAAATCAATTATTTTATTATATTTTTCATACATTTATCTTATTTTTATTACAATTCTCTAAGAAAAAGTTATCTCTGCAATGTAGAGTTTATTCTCAATAATTGTACAACAAAATTGAATTTTAAACTAAACAATTCAGCTCATTTTTTTGCAGACACTCCGTAAGGGAGCCACAGAGCAAGAGAAAGCAGAATTTTTAAAAGAAGCCCAGCTAATGAGCAACTTTAAACATGAACACATTCTACAACTTTTAGGAGTTTGTCTTGATAATGATCCAAATTTCATTATTATGGAACTTATGGAAAGTGGTGATTTGCTCAGCTACTTGCGATCAAGCCGCCCACAAATAGTAAGATATATTATCATTTCTAAAACATGAGGGTTTTATAAAACATTCTGTCTAATCATATAACATATATTTATTGCAGTACATGTCATCAGGACTGACTCTTTTAGACTTGGTCACTATGTGTGTTGATGTTGCCAAAGGTTGCCGCTATCTTGAAGAAATGCACTTTGTACATCGTGATTTAGCTTGCCGCAACTGTTTAGTTTCATCTGGAGATCCACGAACCCGAGTAGTGAAAATTGGAGATTTTGGTCTCGCTCGAGATATTTATAAAAATGATTACTACAGAAAAGAAGGGGAAGGATTACTACCTGTAAGGTAAAGCATTCTTAAATTGTTTGTTCTTCTCAACATATCTAAAAAATTACATATACTTAGTATGTACCAAGTTTGGACGTGTTTCAATTTTGAGAGTGACGTCAGCATATTGTTTTAAATACAATGCTACATATTGAACTAAAAGGTCCCTACAATGGATATTTGTATGGTCTGCAATAACATTTGAAATTCCATAAATATCAGTAGCAAGTTTGTACAGGCTATCTATAAGCTATATATATATCTATTAAGCTATCTATATTATATATTATTTTGGTGAGATTGTTTTCTTGACTATATGCTGATTGATTAATGATTCCGGGAGCGTCAACAGCTAAAGATCATTAGTCCCTTAAGTGTAGAGCATGTTTCTCCTTGGCAGCGGGTCCCCTGAGATCTGGCACCAACCTAACTGTTGGCAAGCGGTTTTCCGCAACCAGATATCTCCCACCAGTGGGGGCATCGTCTCAGCCTGGACAAGCTCGAAGCTCCCAATCAATCTCTCAGCATGCATGATGTGTGTAAGAGGAGAGGGTGTGGATAGGACAAGGAGGAAGAAGGAAGGATTTCACAGGATCTGTTGCCCATTTGTTAGAGTACTGCTCTGATATTCGCCTCATATTGATCAGAGAAACCACGGAAAACTACCAATCAGAGCAGCCAGCTAGAATTCTTCTCCAGACAGCAATTGAATTCGACCCAGCTATCTAGCTGGTGTCAAAAATCCTGTCACCGTTAGAACTCGAGCCTAGGACCTCCCAGGCCTAGGGAACCTAGGGCCGATCAGAGGCACTGTAGTGACATCAATTGATGCCTTGAGCCATCTCTCCCGGTTTGACAATATTCAATGTATTGAGGTTTCAGAATTAAGGCATAACCGTCCCAGGGAGATGGGCAGGCGAGTAATGATCAGGGCAGGATAAACTGGGTATGGCAGCATGGGCAAGTTCAAGAGTAATTTATTCAACCCTCTTGCAGAGAGACAGAATGAAACGCGATGGGTTAACACATAGAGAGATTTAAATAAAATAACTTCCCTTTTACAATATAGATACTATTCATCCCCTTTCATATCTAATACATAATTATGATAAACAGCTGGGCAATGCTGAGTTACTTCAGCAATTCTTTAATTGTTGAAAGTGGTGCTTTGTTTTGATTCTTCACAAAATGTTCACATTTTCACGAGTGAGAATATAAACTACAATTTCCGGTTTCCTAAAACTACAGTTTGCATGTGTTGAGAAAAACCATCTGTATCACTTCCAAAAAATTTTTTCTGTACTTAATCTAGATGACTGGAGACTCATTAATCAAATGAATATGCTGTTTCAGGTGGATGGCTCCTGAGAGTCTGGTTGATGGTGTTTTCACCTGCCAATCTGATGTTTGGGCATTTGGGGTATTGATTTGGGAGATATTAACACTGGGCCAACAACCATATCCTGCACGCACAAATCTTGAAGTTCTGCATTACGTGCGTAATGGAGGCCGTTTGTCGCGTCCGAACAACTGTCCTGACCAACTGTAAGTCGAACACAGTTATAACTATAAATGTATTATTTTTAGTGAACTACTATTACTCAATTAGTTTCAGCATACTAAGGGCTATAACATCACAACCCGCCAAGTTCTTCTCTTTATCCAATAGTCCTTTATCCTTTATAAATATTAATTATTATTTGAATAAGGCACTTAGAAAGCTATCAAAACTTTCTCTTTACATAAAATAATGATATCCTTGATCTATACACCTATTTTTTTTATTTATTTATTTTTTTTATTTTTTATTTTTTTTGTCTACTTCTGTGAAAGTTTCAAGGGTCAGATTTTAAGCTGCTTACAACCTGTTTTTCTCTGTTCAAACAGTCACCACTTAATGTTAAAAACATGGAGTTATAATCCAGAAAATCGACCAACATTTAAATACTGCCTTGAAACACTAGAAGACTTGAAAAGTAAAACTGCGCCCATACCTTTGGCTGCTATACAGTGTGGCCATTATGTGAGCAGGACACCTAATGGTATAACAATATTTATTCCAAACACTACTTTGCTTGTGAATGTTTTGGTACTAACATTTAAATTTAAAATAACAACTTTGCATGTCAGGGTACTATTGCATGATTAATGTATTTACTTTCTTCTCATTCATTAGGTGGAATTGATAACCAAGGTTTCTTTGAAGATGAAAACCACAATAACAGTTCAGGTACTACATTAATATTAATATAATACACACAGAATCTCAACTTCAGGCAATACAGCATGCACCTAATTGAACAAAATGAATTTCTAAGATAAAATACCCTATATTACAAGGCAAGAAAACATATTTTCTTGGTTAGAATCAAAGTAACAAAACTTACACAACAAAAATTTTGTGATGATTAACTTGAACTAAAAGAACGACAAGCATGAACATAAGCAACAATTTTGAAAGAAAATATGAAGTTTATGACCCCAGAATTATATACTCCATAAGTGTGATTTACTGGGTCATGAAGTCAAAACACCATAAAGAGTAATGTCCCAATAACTTTAAGGATGAATACTAACGTGTTTAAAATTTAACAAGTTCATAGCCTGTAACCTAACATTTCATATTCCTGCAGAAATAAGCTCTTTTAATATATTAATGATAAGTAAACAACAAACTTACTAATTTTGTTTCTTAACTAATTCAGGAAGTTCCTGGAAGACTGGTAGTGATATAGAAAGCAGAGATCAAGTTCCTTTCCTTCAAAATGCACCTGAAATGCATAATGCAGGTCAAGCCTCGACTGAGCTTCGTAATACCACAGACCCTCCATACTACTTGGAATTGCTTTATGACAGTGACACTGCCACCACTGCCAGTGATGGTTACGAGATTCCAAAACCTCTGCCCACCCTTCCTCCGATGCCACCAGCATTGGCAGATCGCCTTCGAACATTTTCAACCTCTTCAACAGTAAGCAATGCCAGTGGATCCACCTCATTATCTTACCAACAAGTGCCATTAGTGTGTAATCGAATAGATGAAAATGAAACTGCTGAATTGCCTACAAAAATTAATAAAGAACTGAAAGGAAATGGAATAATTGGTGGCACATGTAAGACATCAGATTTCAGACACAACGGAGAAAAAGATTTGTCAATGATTGAACAGTTATTAATAAACAGAAGAAAGTGTGGCAGTTCCGTGGGAGAAAATTTACATTCTCATAAAATTAATTCTACAGACATTTCCGATTCTCCGACAACGTATAGCAACGTTTCAAAGCATTCTGGAAGTGAAAGTCAGGTGCAAGCATCGGTGAGTGATGACAGTGCTAGTAACTGTGAAACAGTGGAAAACACAAATGGTGTAATCAATCCGATATCGTGAACTACAGTTAGACATCCATACCTACATAGTTCAAACATCAAAGTATTTTTAATTTTAAGCCTCCAAGTATTTGCCTAGTCATATTTCACAAGCGATTGTAAATAATTTATTAGAATATATTTTACTTCGTTGTATAGAAAATAATGAAAAAGAACATTATTGAAAAATTATGTAAATATCAAAACTGCTTTGGAAAGAATTACTTCTTAACAATATTATCAAAGCAAAGTGTTTTGAGCAGTGTATTGCAAACAAGTCTGCAACAGCTTCCTATTATGCCGAGAATTCACTTGTATTATAAACTAGAATGGATACAGAAAACATTCTTGTTTTCTTTCTAATTTTATTCATTTCATTCTCTATAAATGTAATTGCTTATTTTGCATTAAGGAAGTATGAAACTATTCTCTTTCATTCTATGAGAGCTATAAATAGTTTTTTTGTTTAGGAACAGATCTTTGGTTGAAGACACAGAAAGTGTCCTTTCTAATGTGTACCAATTTCAATTCCAAAGGAAGATTATTAAACTGAAAAGAACATTAAAATGCATAAGGAAGCTTCAAACTTTACATAAAAATACTTGTAAATAATTACCATGTACAGTACATAAACATTTTTACTCAAAGATAAAATATTTTGGTTTTTCTTTTAGATGTATGTCTTTGTGATGCATTCTCCATCACATTAATATTGATTAAACCCCTCTCTCACAAAATCCTATGAATCCTTTAAAAAATTTAATGTAAATTCCAAATCCATTTGATTTACTGTTCTAAATTGATATTGATAATTTTTTGTAAAACCAAATAATTTATTCTAGAATCAACTCTATCAGCATTTTTAAGTTACTTCAACAATGATGATCCACTTACTCCGCTGCACCAGAAATGGTATTTCCACATTAAATATTAAAAAAACAAATCCAAATGAAGGTTAAATTAAATAACATTTTGAGCAATAAAATGTACATTCTTCACCAAAATCTGATTTTTATCAAGTCTAAAGGAATTTGATTCAAGAAACAGAAATTTAGAGAAGAAAAATTTTGTAGAAAGAAAAACTGGTGATGATTACAAAAGCACACATTTTTCACATTAATGGTGTTATTTATAAAATATTGTTTTTGCAACTTCTATCTCACAAACACATAAGGCACACCATAAAAAGCTAATAAAACAGTGTGAGAGGTTCAAAAAAATACATATATTTAATTTCTTGAAAATTCAAAACTTTAAATGAAAATGGAATTCTGTCATTGAATTCAGTGTATGAATTGTTGTTACAAAACGTTTGACAAAATCCCTATTGTTACAAAACGTTTGAAGGGAAAAATTCCCAGTTAGGGATTGAAACCTGGGCACTAAGAGTGACAAGCCAAGACATTTCCCTGCCTCTAAGGAAGCCTGTAGAAGAACAAATGCATTTAAAATTCTTGTTCTTATCATTGTAGTTATTCTGGCTTTTATTCATTTATTGGTACAGGCAAGGCTGAATTACAAATATATAATGAACAAAACAAAATCCAAATAAGTTAAAATCAGATAATAATTCCTCTTTCGCTTAAAACTTAAATTTAAGAACAAATCAGTACTTGCATTATTCGCCATTTTAGACATACACCAGAGGTTCATTTAGATAAGCGTTTGTTTTACAAAAAAAAAAAAAAATATTAAATACAGCTTGGTTAACATTGTGAAGTTTGAATACAGGAGCTTCCCATAATAATTTGAATAAACCAGGACAATCCAAAATTATACAATGATCACTAATATTTTAAAATATTGGACATTGATAATGCACATGAAATATGTGTATATGGTGGTAGAAAAGAATTTTCTATACTTAAGAACACATTTGTAGGTAGATATCGGAAAAGTTTTGAACTTTTTTAGGTTTTAAAATTCTAAAGGTTTTAACAACAATAGGACTTATGCCATATTATTAAGTGAAATTTGCTCTATTCAAGCTATTCATTTAAAGAAAAGATTTAGAGAACACCTTGAAAAAATCTTGCTTTTCTTTTTTTTTAATTATCTCTCAAAATTATGTGAAAATTTATTAAAAAAGTTTGAAAAGCTTATGTCAGTTCCAATTCCAACGAAATCATTCAGATTAATCAAGGGACATCTATTCTTATGGAAATGTGTTCGGTTCATGTTCTAATTTCGTTTATTGAATTGAATTGAATTTGCCTTATTTTACGTGGCGAGACGTGGCGTTTATTCTTTTGAGCCCTTTTTATATCAGGGACTCACAAAAATTTGGTTGGTTTAGTTTTCATTAAAGGAGATAAAGGGGCAAGAAATATCATTTTCTCAGCATCAGTGACCCAGATGAATTAAATCTTGCTCAAAGCAAATCATGTAAAATGTGGAAATCTGTCCAATGTGAACATAAACTGCGGTCCTGGCAATCATAAATTCTACTGTATTACATTGTTTAATGCAGAATCTTCTCAGAAGCAGAAAAAAATACTAGTCCCTTGACATTCCACTCTGAGCAAGTTGTACTGTATAGGTTTGTCGGTGCCTAAGCCATAACTCACATGACATGACTACCAATATTTTAAAAAAAGCATATCCTGATATGAAGATCTAATACTGAGAAATATATATCACAATTTTCTCTCTTTAATAATTTAGAGTAGACCTTTGCCAAGGCCCTTGGTGGCTCTTTGGCTTGTATGCTCACTTTCCCAGGCGCAACCTGGATTCCTAACCAGGCCAAATAAATACTGTGCACTTTTCTAACAAATTTCCCAGTATCTATTGCTGTGTGACAATGAGAAAGCCCAATCTAAGGTTATGAAGACCAGAAAATTACAGTGAAGGGATGTCTTCGTGCTAACCACACAAACCCCTTATCCCATGGCCAAGAGGCTGGGTCACTGCTGGTCAGCCAAGGCCCATAGCAGGCTGACACAACTTCACTAAACCATCTTGATCTTTATTCTTACTACCCAAAACTTTAAAATCAAATTTGGTGTCTGTATCTTAGCATACGTCTCATCCACTTTTATGATTCTCACGACTATAAAGCTGGTATTTAAAGACCCTTTTAAAAAAAGAGAAGAAGAGAAATTATATAACCTCCAAATCCCTAATACATTCTTCAAAAATGTCCATAACATAATTCTTCAGTCATCAGAAACAATTATCTGACATCAATTGATATGATAAAATATTAATTCCAAGAGTTTTTTTGAAATTCAAACTATTACTGATTTTCATTCTCAAAACAAATGACCTTAAAACTATTTTTCCTATCTACTTAATTTTCTTGGGAACAAAATCTACAAATGGCAAACAATCTGGCATTATTTAAAAATGTTAAGGGAACAATTTTATACAGGCACAATTTCAGGAAGGCCATTTGACTGAACTCGCTTAAATACCAGACAGCTAACACAATAGGTTTTCTCCTCTTGCATTTTTTATTAAAAAATTCCATTCTGAAGGTAACTTGAATTAGTGTTATTGCATAAAAAATATTTATTTATTAATGTTACAAGAAATAGTAAATGGATAACATGTTCTGTAGCACAGAGATACAGTACATCAAAAGTAAATAAAATATTTACACAACTATCAACTTCTTGACATTTCATATTCAGATAAGATCCACAGCTTTACCAAATTTTAATCTCTTGAAATATAATAGCACTTGGTCAATTATGCTATAACTAAATTATCTGAATCTCAATATTTTTTATTTTTCTGTGAAATTTAGAATCACTCTCAGAAGTTGATGTTTACAATGACTCACAATGGGAGCACCCACTTAAAGACCTTCATGTATTAAGGGGCCACACCTAGGATATGTGCTGGATTTACCTGACCCAGTAAACAGGTGTCTGCAGCCACAATCCTACAAGGTTAATTGTCACAAATGAAACCAGCTAGTAAACAGATTCACATCCTGATATTCCTGAGGATACAGTTTTGCAGTTTAACAAACGTTTAGGCTCGTAAACCTGTACTTTAGTTCAACCTGGGAAGATGAAAGTTGTTCCATTTAAAGAATAAAGGTTTCTCATTTCAGAAAGAGAATTCATGAGCACCAAGAAAGTTAATTTTAAATAGTTCGATGGAAGGTTTTCCAACATACTAATAAACTATCAATAATAAAGCTTTGATTAGTTTTAAGAAACCAGAAAAAAGAAGTACCTTCTATTCCTCCTGCAAACACTATAATCCAAATAATTTAATTTTCTATAAATTAAGAAAATAATTTCTCCTTTGAAAAAACAAAGTTTTGAAAGTGCAAATATATTATAAAGTAAAAATTAAATGTAGTCAATACTAAATATCACTGGAAATACGAGAAGACATATTTGGAGTTGATTTGGTTCTAATTCCTATGAAGTGAAATTTAAATTTGAGACTGACTGGATTAGAACCAGAATGTCACCCCACTGAAGAAAGTGACCTGTGAACTTTTTTTAACATTTAAAAAAATTTGATTTTTGTTAAGAAAGTGAACTTTTTTCCCTTTCAGTCTTGTTTATTTTATAAGAAGTTTTTCTTATCACCTGTTATCAGTAAAAAATGTGGCAGAGTTGTTGAAGAGGTTGATCATCAAATTGCTACTACCAGAATTACATTTAAATCCCTCTGGATTCAGGAAGAAAGATTAACATAACTTTTCTCTCACATACTCATTTTCTTAAAAAAAATTACAGCTGGTTGACTTTATCTGCCTCAATTCATGTTGAAATTTGTGAAACTGTAGGAAGCTGAGGAAGCCTGCAACATGTCAGGCGAAATGTTGGCCTCTCAGCCAACAATGCGGCGTCTCCTGGATAGCCAAGAATTTATATAGTATTACATGACAGAGCCCTACATTTGGCACAATTTAATTAATTCCTTGAAATTCAGTGTAATTTTTGTTGTATAAATGGCAAAAAGCAATGTTGTAGAGGTTTGATGGTATCCTAATACTATTATACTTCTTTGAATCCATTCTGGGCACAAAAAAATGTATATATTCACTAAACCTAATCAGTATTTTGGTTATTAGAAAAGCACCAAAGAGGATGAACAGGCTAATGATACAAGGAAAACAGTAACAAAAGTATGTATTTTCTGGGATTTCTTACAGTAGAATGTTTGAATGATACAAAGTCTCCTGAGGAATATTCAAGACAGTCAACACTAACATTAGTTTACAAATACAGATCTTTTTTTCTACATACTCTTACTCTACTGAACCTTTGATACAAAGTGGAATCCTGTCTACAACAAATGCATTAAGAGTGAATGTTATCAGAACTAAAAAAAATACTGTATCACCTTTTGAGTGATTACATAGAATTGTGAGCTTTGACAGATTATTTCAAACAAATGAAGACTAAATTTAGACATATAATGTAGGCCAAACATATGCTGACAAATGGAGGAGCATCACACATACTGAAACATGAAAAATACATCTTTTGAGGCTAAGAAAACTTATCAGAAATTGAGCTATAAAAATAGAAATGTCAATAGTCTGAAAAGACAAAATCAATATTGTGATTCCGTCACAATGAGAGCTTATTTGTAAAATGTCTATCCCATTCTCCACAAAAATTATAATGGTAAATTGCCCCAAAAACACATCATTCACACTAAGTTAATCGACAAGAACATTGCCACAGCACCAGAAAATCTGGTCACAAATTTACAAGATCTATACACACAAATGTCAAAATACCATTCTTCATTGTGGCATATTTTCATGCCACATACTTCAAATCTGACAAACACAAGTTCAATTTCAAGTAAATACTGCAACTGCTAACAACACCAACTTTATTTGTAGACTGACAACCAGAAGACTTCAGTTAAACACGTTCTCCACTAATAGTCAATCAGCAATTTGTTCCATAAACGAGTGGTATCACTTTACCTGTTCCGTTACAAAACTGAAAAAGGTTCATTATAAACCAATGTGAAAAGAAGTTGTAAACGTGACGAGTTATGAATTCATATTCTATGGCAAGAAAAACACAAATTCAAGATGCACATCACAATGAATTTCACCATCATTTTTTGTATAACGGCTAATGTATAGTACATTTAAACTCATAAACTTCTATCATGTAATGTAACATATCTCAGAAAATAAAACTTACTCCATTCATATGACAGTGGCTTCCATACAACATTGATATCGTAACTTGTCCTTTCCAGAAAACAAAAAAACTCTTACTTTTATATAAATTGCTTTGCATTTTTCACAATTCATATACTTGCAAATAAGAAATTACTTTCAACAGAATTGTAAAAACACATTTAAATCATCAGTAAAGAATTATTTCTGACTTACACAAATTCAGTGTAAGACTATTCTTTTGTCCTTAAGCATGCCAACAGCCAATAACAATGTAATTACACGGTCAAGAAGTCTTCATTAATTGTGCACTCACAACTTCTGAACATTCAACAGATTTCTTTTCTTCCTATTATCCTATTATTAAATGATTGTTATAACACTTACAAATTTTAGTGCAAGGGTTTCGACAACAGAAGAAAAAGTAACAATCAAAGCATTATTTTCAAGTTATTTTTAAATTTTTATTTCCATCACAAACTTGTAAAATTATTTTATGTACACCACACTAACAACAAATGTTGAAATAAATGAATAAATAATATTTTGGTAAAACTTCAATTCATAATTTATAGAAATTTTACGCCTTACTACATTGTTTTTTATCTTAGTTTACTCATTTGCAACTATATCATCATCCAGATCATCATCTTTACTATGCTCATGAAGCAACACATACTCACGTGAACTATAGCCAAATTTTACCACATCTTTCTCCAAGAGTTCGACATACTTTTTGGGTTCTATCTTGTTGTTATTCACATAAGTTCCATTAGCTGACTCGAGGTCAATAATATATGGCCTCACTCGTCGACCAGTGGAACCATCATCTCGTTTGTATGGTGCTAATCGATACTGCAAGGCAGCATGTTGCTTTGAACATGATGGATGATCCACTGGAATATCTGCAACTTTGCGATCACGTCCAATAAGGTAACAACTTTGTCGATGAAGATACAAAATGGGTAAACCTGCATCTCCTTTAAACGGATAAAATCTCCATCGTCTCTTTGGTTTACGAGCTTCTTGTGGTTCACTATATTTTAGCACAACCCCATTAAATGTGTTTGTCTCTTCAGCAAGTTTTCCTGATAAACCAAAGTTTGGTTTTGCCTTATCTGCAGGTGGATCGTTTTTGTTCTCCGCTGTATTGGTTTGTTTTCCCCATTGATAATCTGGCTCTGGGGTCCCTTTTTCTTGCTTGATTGGACGGTCAGCAGGTATGGGATTTTGTTCCCCATTTCTAGACCCCCTTTCTCTGTATTCTCGAGTTTCCCTAAAACAAACAAATCAAATTCACTATAAAATACAAAAGAGAAATACAAGAAGAGTTTCAAGGCAAAAAATTAGAATTCTTCAGTTAGTAAAGCTATTTGCAGAAAAAAATGAACACAACCTTTATCCAAGCATCCTCTGGAGGTCAAATGTTTGAAAAGCAACAAATAATTGAAACCGAATTTATATCACAGAAAATGTCACCATAGTGAAGTCAAACTTTTCAAAAAATATCAATCTGGCAACCCATATCAATCAGACTTTGTGAGTTTTTTATAATCAGATTATCTAAATTAAAACTTTTTTGGTCTCCTCTTTACAGGCTTTTGTTCTTTGTAAGTGGCTGCATGCAATGTTTCACTTTTTTGGTTTATGAAAAACAATTAAAATATTAATGTTTGATTAGAATCACATACACGGTCCAACTCTTTTTAGAGGACTACGTTCTTTTGGCAAGAAACTATGATTTTGATGCAACAATCAAAGCAGTATTATTAATTTGTTCATGTGTCAAAGGCAGGTTGAATACACATGTCTGGTATTATTAAGGCAATGCTAGGCAGTTAAAATTTATAAGATCTGTATGGAGTTTCAGCAATAAGAATAAGAAGTACACCAAAAATCTTTCTAATGTGCAAATAAAAGAGAAAAATTTTAGTGATGAGGGTAAAGTAATTTTAATGTTAGCTGTGCTAAAGAGAAATACTTCCAATCACAGCTAACCCACATATGTTGCCAAAATCGTTTGCAAGGCTCATGTGAATTGAATCTAAAAAGGTTGTTTTGCATATTCTGTGGCTAGTGCTTAAAAATATTTTCAACAGAAATAGAATTGCAGAACCATCTTCTGGAAATACAAGATCTTGATAAGTAATTTAGAAAATAATACTTTATTACTGTTGACTGCTTTTAGAACAATCCACAATAAATCGTTCTTAAATGTGAAGTAATAACTAATTATTTTTCTCCATGTTAAAGTTAAAATTTTTACTAGTTTAAGAATCAAATCAAGCTAAACCTACCCCCTCCTCTCTCTACGAGAGTTCATTTGGTCCCTTTCTTCAAGCTCGGCACTAGGTTTCTTCACACGTGACAGTTCGTCTCTCCTGTGATGACTCTCACCCTCTCTCTTCCTGTGATGTCTAATTCCATCTTCACTATCATCTCGATGTCTATGTCTAAACATTTAAACACCATAGACTGAAACTTACAGTGATACAAAGAGTAATGTGAAGACGTGCAGCTTGACGTGAGAAATCCCAAGCTTGCACCATCTGACACCTGCAATGAATTTAAATTTCAATGCGCGCAAAACAAAACAATGACACCTTAAAATTATACAAAACTAAATAAATGAATACAAACTGATGCAGTAACACTTAAGAGCAGCATTACAAAATACTTGCAACAGGGAAGATTGCAGCACATTTCTCACTACACATGATGTTTTCAACGGCAGTGAAAGTAACATGTCCATAACATGCTAAGTAAGAATGATCTATACGCACAATTCAGAGACACCACTACATTACCGTTGCTAGGTTGATTAAACAGCACAATAATTCTTTAATTTAAGTCAAATACTTTTTGTGATGAAAAGTGATAAATGGTTAAGTACAGAAGCATTACAAACGATTTATATTTTCTGCCAGAAATGGGCTGAAATTTCTCGAAGAGTAACAGTCTAAACTTGTGAACAATATAAATGTATGTTTTACAAGTGTTTGCAACTAAATTCATTTGCTCACAAATGCAAATGATGTGTACAGCAGAGATTTTCATTCTTTGGATCACATCCTACAATACACTTTTCAACTTCAATCCATTTCTGTAGAAATTGAGTAATAGACATTTCAATTAAGAATACATACAACATTATTCAGATCGCAATTACCACCTTAGAAATTCCTGAATCACTCTGCAAAACATCCAAATACATTCCCAGCAACCCAGCATTCATTCAGTAGCAACAAGTGTTTTCTCATGTTGTGTGTTTCTGCATTAAAAATCTGTCCAATAATGTTTATTTAACCTTTCCATAAAATCTAGTCCGTAACTAAATGTCAACAAAACTTTTGAACACAAAATGCTTATGAACCTAAAATGAAGAATTATACATTGGGTTCATCTGCACAACTGACCTTCACAATAAATAAATCTGCCCACTAGCATTTTATACCTATAAAATACACAACAAGGAATTACCAAGAATCAAATGCTGCATTGTACTGCTATGAAAGCAATGAACTTGCCCCTTCCCAAAAATATAATCAACATACCTTGATGAACTTCCTGAGTATTGTGGATTTTCCTCAGTCTTCAACCGTATTCGCTCTTCACCATGTCTTCTATGAGAGCTGTGAGAATGTCGCAATGAGGGATGATCTTCAAATCGTTCTCGCTCATCATATCTTACTTTTTCGCCCTCAATTAATTTATGTTTCCTTCGGTGATGATGATGGTGGTGGTGGTGATGATGTTTTCTCTTCTTCATCTTTCTGGAATCTTGAATAGATGAATCATCAGTATTGGATTCACCACTGTCATTTTCTCTCTTATATTTAATTACTGGCACTGTTTCGGTTTCTGAGTCGCTGGACTCGGAAGAATCCGACGAGTTGTGTTTTGGTTTACTTTTAACGAGTTTGGAATGTGAACTCGTGTCTTTCATGTTTCGAAACCTAGGAACAAAACGTAGATCACCCGTTAATTAACAGAACAAAACAAAATATTTGAAGTAAAATCTTACCGTGCAGTAACTCACTTCAATAAATAGCTACTTATTTTCCAATTTTTACACGAATAACTTAAACACTTCGTAAAAATTCCGAGCGAAATACAAAACTGAACACAACGCAAAATGTCTCCCTGTTTGTTAGCCAGTCTATTCCATTCCTTGTATAACTCGTACTCTCGTCGCTGCGTTGCTCACTTCTCAATTTTCGTTTGCGATACGTACTGTAGTCTTTCGGCGACCAATAAAAAAAGCTCTTATCATTACGACACGTTTCTAACTTTATAAGACGTTTTATCATTGGCTTTCGAAAATATCTATAGTCTTCAACTTTTGTTCCTATTGGTTCGCTGGGATTCTTCCTCCCTCTCTCTCTCTCTCTCTCTCTCCTTACCAAGGCACACGATCTGCCTTCCGTTGTACAACGTATAGCGTCAAAGAGAAACTCTCAACCTTCGTCGAACGGGAACTTGGACCTGTCGACCGCATTCGCGGAAACCGACCTTCGTCATCAGATTGGGCCTTCCCTTGATACAGCTGCTATTCAATGCCGCACGTGACGTACTTCCAACGTCATTCCGTAGATGATAAATGTCACTACTGAAAATTGAAATGAATAGATGTGGCAGTGTAATAAGAAAGGCGTAGTTTCTAAGTGGCCTATAGATACATTCGAAGGTAATCTTCAAAGAAAATAAGACAAATTGGATATTGCCATTTCTTTTGATGGGGTCAAACAGGTGGCATCGTTAGTATATTCATCGCTTTCTGATGGAAGATGAACGGGTATTGATTGAGTAAAAATACTGTTATCAAGCTTTTTAAAACTAATTGATATTTTCAAAGTTTATTTGTTTTATATATCTTTATTTACATGGACAATTACAATCTAGTTTGGGATGCAGTCTTTTAACGCATAAAAGTATTTTTCTTGAAGTGGAGAGGAAATGTAGGGAATCGCATTCGTGTGTTGTGATATTTGCGTTAAAATGCCCCAAAAATTTTACACAATAGAGAATAATACACAACATACGTGGATAACATTAGTTTGTATACTTACTTGCATTCATTATCATTGCATAACAATAACGAAGTATTATAATGTGACAATTTTTACCTTTTACTTCACCTATCACTTAAACTAAACAAAGGAAGCACATACATACACGCGCATAATTCCCACGTGTGCTTAAAAATAGTTTTCTGCAACTGAAACTATTTATGTGCTCAGATACATAAACGCATCAACGATGTCCGAAGTACGTTACGTTATTACGGTAGCCGTAAAGAAAATAAAATTACCTATCAGTTAAAATGAGTATTGCAGTAATTCGAACTGGCGGTAGCTGCCACGATCTATTGTTGGCAGCGCGGCTTTGATAAAGCAACAATGATCACTGGTTTTACTTCGCAAAGCGGTGACAACCAAATGCTAATGCACCAAAATATAATAACTAGCTGGTACCCGGCGCGTAACCGCGCTGCCGCAAAAGAAATAAATTAGCAATATCGTTTAATTTGTGAGTTATCTTGTTCTTTTCCCTCCCTCCTCCCCTCTTTCACGGTTGCAAAGTGTCCACTATCTGAGCGGACAGTCCGCTTTTTACTTTCTCGCACTTACTAGAAAGTATTAAATTCGCGCGTCGGAAAATGGGGAATTTTCCACACAAAAACTTTTATTGCCGGGCCCTTGAAAAGAAAACTTGGATAAATCCAGGTGCTACATATATAAAAAATTCCTCTTATACGTGGTGCAACCAGAACCCATATTTTGTGTGTCCTTCATACCGAGAAATCGATTGACGGCAAAACGTCTGCCTATCCGTCAGAGCACAACGCTATCGCATAAACCGTTTAGCCGATTTTCTCCAAAATGAATATTCCTTAATCGATGTCGCGAACCCTAGAATTTGAAACTGATATTTTAATTTTTGGGGATACTTTACATGACGTTTGAAAAAACGAGTAGGTTTTGTGTATTTTGCGATCGTAACCTTACAAAACACATTCTAAAAAACCGCTCCAAATTTGGTCTTCAAATTTTCTTCACTTATGTAATAAGAGACGATAAAAAATATTGTGGTAGTAGTATATTTGGGTATTGGGTGTTTTTTTTTTTTTTTTTTTTTTTTTTTTTTTTTTTTTTTTTTTTTTTTTAAATTAAAACTACAAAATTGAAGATAGAGATTTTTGTCTCAGAGAAAGCCTGTTGTACAAAATTAGCTATTCAAAAAAGATTATATAATTTTTTTTAAACGAGTCGTTTTGCGAATTTCTGCCTGAAATTAATGAAATGTATACAGGTTTCACACCAACTTCGGACCACCTTTCATTTATGACAAAAATGGGGTTTTAAGAAGAATTGATAAGAAAATGTGTGCCCATTGTTGTCAGCACCCATCGCTGCATTCACGCTTTGTTGTTAGCACTCGGACTGAGATGTGTTGAGAGAGACAGAAATGCGGTATAAAATTATTGTATAACCTTTAGTAAACGGCTAGAAAGTGTGTTGTTTTAGCACCTCTATTTTCACATAATGTCCACAATTTTTTCATTAAATTTTTTTTTTGTTTTTTTCAAAAGCTTTATGATGAAATGGTACATAATCTAAAGCTATACAGCCTAAAAGACTAATGATAGGAACTTTGTAAGAAAGTATATAATTTAATTATATAATGTTAATTGTATTTATTTACAATCCTCCCCCCTCGCTTGTCCGCCATTTTTTGGAAGCAGGCCTAGCAACCCTACTCTCTCTCTTTATCCCTCTTTCTCCCCATTTCCCCCTCTCACTTTATTTTTTCTTCTCTCTTTCCCATTCTTTACCTTTATCTTTTCCCTCTCATTCTTGCGCCATCCGTTCCTCATGTCCTTTTCCGCATCGGCCCACGTCACACGGAGACGCTCAGCAACAATGAAGTTCAGGTGTATTGGGAATTGCATTTAAATGAAACGTCATCAGCGCCATCTAGCGGAGTTATCCCACTGGCGGCTCGCGGTGCAATTTATTGTGGCCCACGAATGACTGAGGCAAAGTGAAAGACCTTTCATCCATGTCTGTCGAGAACATCGCGCTTAGCGCACGCACCCCGTCGTGGTCAGTACCCCCTTGGGGCGCCTTTCCTCGTTGCCACGGCGGCGCGCTTCCGCCAAGCAGCATAGTCTTTCCGACGCTGCCACCGCTGCAGCCACGGCCCACCGCCGCCCGCCGTGGAAGGGGGTGGGTTCTGCAGGGTTAGGCCGCTTGCCCACGCCGCCACAGCAGCGCGCGTCGGTCAATCATCAGGGCCCTCCGGTGACGACGGACAAAGGGACCGAAGCAGGTACCTGCTGCGGTCCCTTTGTCCGTCGTCGCCGGAGAGTCGGCGAAGAGCCCTGATGATTGACGTTCGTGCGCTTCTGTAGCGACGTGGGCAAGCGGCCTTAGGTTTCGCCGACCCCCAGCGACGACGAACGAAGGGACCGCAGCAGATAAAACGCCGCGACCGGCGGCGCAGTAAGGGCGCCTTCCCACGTCGCCAAGGCGCCGCGCTTCCTTCAAGCAGCAGAGCCCTTCCGACGCAGCCACCGCCGCAGCCACGGCCGCACCGCCGCCCGCCGTGGAAGGGGGTGGGGTCTAGAGGGGTAGGTTTCGCCGACCCTCCGGCGACGACGAACATAGGGACCGGAGCAGGCAAACCGCAGCAACCGGCGGCGCAGTGGGAAGGCTCCTATTTAAAGCTGTGTTCTGCTAGCCGTGGCGCGTGGCCCTTCCTCCGCTTCGCGTGGCTGAAGTTCGGCGTCGGCTGCCGCAGCAGCGGCCACCCGCTGCACGTGGGAAGGCCTCCATTCAAACCAGTGCTCTGCTACGCGCTGCGCTGCTCGGAAACGCACCGCCGTCGCGCCGTGGGAAGGGGCCCTAAAATACTCTCTGGTGGAAATACTATCATTTAAAGCTGTGTTCTGCTAGCGGTGACGCATATGCCCTCCTACGCTTCGCGCAGCGAGATACCACCGCCGAACTCCGCAGTGGCAAACCCGCCCTGAATACCCTCTGAACCCGCCGCACGTGGGAAGGTCTCCATTCAAACCAATGTTCTGCTACAAGCCGCAGTGTTCGGAAGCGCGCAGCGACGGTGACGTGTCGTGGGCAGGAGCCCTTTGTGTAAAAAGAGGTTAAATTTAGATTGAAGGTTTGAAATTGTGGGTCTTGAGGTCTTGTAAGTTGGACGCACCATGCCTATATCCTTCCCACAAGTGCAAGTTATAATTTGACAACGATTTAACGCAATCGGATGAATAGTACGCCAGCCAATTAAGTACGAACCAACAAACATAGATTTTTATTATATATATAATATGAAAAACAACAGAACAAAGTGGCGCTGGATTAAATCGAATCGCCATTCGGGTTCAATCCTCTGGCCGAACATTTTTTTTTTTTTTTTTTTTTTCGCGGTTTCCCTTGGTTCATAAGTTGAGAATGTTGGGATGCGTTCCAATAAATTCCCATTCTCTACTCGTACTCACCTTCACCATCATCCTAGTCATTTACACTTCATCCACCCCAGTCACTTTTTTTTCCAATCCCAATAACACACAAATAATAATAAATAAGTAAATAATAAATCAATAATAATAATAATAATAATAATAATAATAATAATAATAATGTGTCTCTCTCTGTGTTTATTTTATCATTTCACCCCATGCCCCAGGGCTTACAACCTTGGGGTGTAAAAATGGAATCAGCATTAAATGCTGATCCCCCGAACATGCAATGCAAATTTTTTGCCTAGAAAGTATGTTTTTAAACCAACTTTTGAGTGCTAGTTGCGGTTCAACCATTTGGAATATCCTAGTAGACAAAATATGCTTAAAATTGTCTTAAGAAATTATTTTCAAAGTTAGGACGTTTCCTTCCTTTATAATTTTCTAAATTAAATCCTTTTATAATGTTTGAAAAGACCTGTTCAACAAAATTGCAAACTGTGCTGTTTCTTTAAGGTTAAAATTCGCAACACCTCGAGGGCAGTCATCAATGGGGGAATATCAATTTTGGGGAAAATCGTTTGAAAAGTTTATGCTTTAGATGTTTTGCCAACAGCCAGGGCAAACAAAACCAGAACTCTGAGAAAAGGTGTTAAAAGTAATTCTCTCCAAACAAACAAGATTTATTCACTTTCTTGGCATCAGGACCCCACAAGTTTTTTGTTTGAGAAAAGACTTCCCCCATACTTTGAATGTAGTATGCGCTTGAAAAGTTACAATTTATGTTGTTGTGAATACAATGAAAAAATTAAGGAAATAAGCAATGAAATTTAAAAAAATTTAAATTCTCTATCCATTAACTGTATGCTTTAACAACTAATAAAACTGGTGAAAAATATAACAGCAAAATTACTCTTAAAGATTGACACACAGAGAGAGTTAATTATATTCCATTTTTTGTGCCAGTATCCAAGGCTGCCTTACCCAATATCTACATTCATCTCAGTTGAAACATCCAGAGAGGTAACAAATTTAACACCAGGAGAATAGACTATGGCATAGACATAGCAGGCAGGTGGGGGTTGGGGATACCTGCTCCCCCCCCCCCCCAATACATTTCCAACTTTTATCTCGTTTCTTAAAGAAAGTATACTTTACACATTATAAAATACACACAAACTATAAAAAAGAAATCCATAATTTTATTTTTAGAAAATCCACCCAAACTTGTGATTTATTAAAAAAGCATTTCTCCAAAAGCATCCAAATTTCTTTGTTTGGAAAATTAACCTTTTCCATTTCAAGAACAACATTGGCACCAATAAAACAGTTTTCAAAATGGGTTTGGGGGTGCTATAAATCCCATATTTTTGTCCTTTTTACTACATTTACCAAATAATAAATAAATATTATTTAATAGTATTTTTATCAACTGATTTTTGGTTGAGGTTGTGCTCGCATAATCCTGCAACATTTTTTATTTGACTCAGTGTGCCACATTAGTCCAAATATAGCAAATTTTATGATAAAACCATAGAAATAAACACTTTTTAAAAAGCCAGATTGCCCGATTATTTGCTATTAGCCTGCATCGAGTATTTTTGCAGAGAGATCAAATGGGATTAGACATTAAAGAGAAATATATGGCATTTGGAAGATCATTAACACTTTTTTCCTCTGTTTTGGTGTGTTCAACCAAGTCCATGACCTGCTCCCTGCATCGTTGAAGGAGGCACATTCATTAATGCATTCTGAAAAGCCATTCTTTTCTTTTTTGAGATTTCTTTATTCATAAGAAAATAGTATATTTTTGATACTTTAAATATTAATGATTCCTTTATTTTATGTAAATACAAGCTCATTTTTCAATTTTATTTTCATTGTTGGAAATGGTTAATTTTAATGCCATCAATTTTTACTTATTTATCCATTTTAAAAATTTACATCTACAAGTTATTGCTATTTATTTAATTATATTATTATTTTATAACCAGCAGTACTTTATTAATATGAATATTTCTTATGTCTTTTTTCCCCTCCCCTGCAGAAAATCCTGGCTAAACCCCCAGACTGAGGCTTTTCTGTTGGGCTGCAGGCCTGATACTATCTGTGTCCAATAAAATTGTGAACACAGTATATTTGTTAATGGAATCCAGAAGAACAAAAAGGCAAGGCTATGCCAAAACAACAAAATGTTGCACAGTCAATTTAATGATGCTTTACTTTACATGGACCTTGGCTCAGGCCATCAGACTGGGTCTTCCACCTGACCATGCAAATTCCGCTATGCTCCTTTTGCCATATAGCAGAGATAAGATGTATCACTGAGGAGATGAAATAAGCCTTTTGAATTTAGCTCAGAGGCTTCTTTCAGGTTTGAGGATCTTTTACAACATGGAACAGCCAACTTTACTTCCCTTCTGAAGGAAGGGGTACAAAGGATTGTTTCCCCACAAAAATCCACAGCTTCTATTGGGTTTGAACCTGCAAACTTCGGTATAACAGCCCAATAAATTAACCATATCACCACTGAAGCTACATATGAGAACAATAGACATTAAAAATAATTAAAAAGACATCTTGAAAAAGCTAGAATGAATTTCAGTAAATATACTATATTACGCAAGAAAACATATAAATAATATCCATACAGATATCTTATTTTCTGTTCACAAATTTAAGTTTGACAACTTAATTAATTCTGACACATCACAAATACTTATGAGATATGAATAGGAAAATAAAAAAAGATGCTACTAAGCTTTGATAATACTTTCAGTACGTTTAATTACCATTATTTCTTACAAATGTACAAAACAATACTTAATTAAAATAAAATTCATTTGCTTGTGTCAGGAAATAACTGTGGATAAAGATATCCTAGTTTTTTAATATTCTTCTGGATGATGAAACGCAAAGAATCTGTGTATTGAGGACCAGGAATAGCTAAAGTTGCATCACGCCACATAAGTCCTGATGCATCCCGAGTAAACAGAGCAGGTGAAGGGACATTATCACGCATATAGTTCCACACACAGTCTCGAAGAAGCTGAACAACCTGTTCAAAACAATGAAAAAATTAAAAATGTAACATCTTCCTTCTAGTAACTACATACATAAAGACAACTAATGAGATGTCAATAAATATTTGCAAATATCAACACTTGTTTGAAATACAATATTCAATATATCATCATCATCATCATCATCATCATTATAATGCTTATTCAAAATAGATACCTTTAAAACACACATACATGCATGCATATGTGCACACATGCATGTACTTATTGGAAAAATATATAACATCAGGACTGGAAGGAAGATATAACCAAAAACGTTTTCAAGAAACAACTATCAGGACATTTCACTAATTTCAATGGACATAAAACTCTTACCAAACATAGTAAAGAATGATGCTAGTTATTATAGTGACAAGAAATCATAGGAAAGCAACAAAGTGAATTCCAAATAAGAAGCAGCAAAAATGCAACAAAATGTAAATGAAAGGAAGGAATCAAACACCCCAATGTATACACTTTCTTTTACTACAAATAAGACTTTGTCATTGTTAATGGAGGGAAATTACGGTCAATGCAATGGCAAAAAAATGGAAGGAAATCAAACCTGACTGGAAACAAAGAAATTGAAATACAGAAATCAGTGCAATATTGAGTGCAGATGATGAGATATTGCACTGATGTTGCACTATAAAATGCAATACACCCACTAGAAAGTAACAAGAGAACGTAAAATAAAAACGTCAATAACAAACAGTAAAGCTAAGATGTTCCAAGGAAATGAATAAGAAGATTAATTGATTGGCGGACAGTTTATTGGCACATTAACTGCTATGGTATTTAGTCCCTTTAGTATAATGAAAGTTTTATGAGAAAGCGGTGACATATCCTTTCTCGCTGGATGACGAGACTGGAAACCCACAATTTGGTTTATGGGGAATTTTCCCCTCCCAGTATATCCCCCAGCACGGATCTGCCATAGCCAGGATAAACTCTAAGCTCCTGACCAGTGTCCCAACAGGTGTGTGTGCACGCATGTGTATATGTATGTGCACGCGTGTGTAAACACACACCCACCGTTGCACATGCGCAAAGTCTCCCAGAAAGCGTCTCGTATTGCATCAGCAGTGGCACGCATTAAAGTAGGGGGTTCTAGGCAAAGAAGCCGGAGGCTGCTGACTAGCGTAGTAAATTCCATTCTTCTCTACGCAGCCCCCATTTGGGCTGATGCCATGGGCATTCAGTCATACGCCCGTGGGCTAAGTCGGTGCACACAAGGTTCGCCTTGCGGGTTCCTCGAGCATTTTGCACTGTATCCTATGATGCAGTGTGTGTGTTAGCAGATATGCCTCCTATCGACGTCATTGCGCAAGTTGAGAACTAGACTCTACTTGCACAAGCAAGAGGGGGCTTCAAACTGGAATACAATCACGAAAGAAGAGAGGGGGGGGCCAATGGCAACGACGACGGGAGCAATCATCAACTGAGCGATGGACGTTTCAGGTCATTCCAGACATCATGACGTGGATCCAAATGGAACATGGAGAATTAGATTTTTATCTAACACAGTTACTGACAGGGCATGAATGTTACCGAGAGTATCCGCTCTGATTCCGGTTGGACGATAGCTCCTCATGCCCAACGTGTTTCCCGGTGATTGAGGATGCAGAACACGAGTTCTTCCATTGTCCATGCTTCGTAGTGGAAAGGGAGGAACTCCACAGACTCCTCCAAGAGGTAGTGACCCTTGAGACCATCGTCACTAGGATGATGATGACACAAGAGTATTGGAGTGCGGTAGCCACCTATGCCGCAAAAGTCCTGAAGACGCTCCGCTCCGAGGAGCTGTTATGAAGAAGTGTCCCGTAATATAATATGAAGTGCGCTAAGCCCATCCTTCCTTCTCGCGATGCAATGCCTGACTGCGGTTCCGTGGAAAGGAATAGGAGGGTTTTTTAGAGGGTAGGCATAGACTAAGTATGAATCCCACAGCTGCAGGTGGCAGGCCCCGCAGTCTTTAGAAGATTTTCCTCTGCCCCCGTAAAAAAAAATAACACACATAGACACACACACTAGGAAGACCCCAAGAACAGTTAATGAGCTAAACAACAAGTCAACTGCAAGCACAAAAAGAATGCACTTTAAAATCAACCCAACTTCGAAATGAAATTGGAAAATTTCAATATAATTTTTAAATAACCATTTCTGATAGGCATTTGGTAAGAGATTATACAGTACAGTCTATTTTCCCGACAAATCTAAGTCCCTGGCTGTTAAAGAATTTTGGGAGAAGTCCTAAGCCAATACAACAAAACATTGCGAGGGTGAGTAATACAAAATTAAGACGATTTCATGAATAATTTAAAAGACATTATGAAAAAAATAGTAAGAATTGATTTTGAAAAAGCTAGCGAGATAATTAATCACTATAAGTATTATAGTGAACCTATTTTCTGTTTGCAAATATTAATTTGAGATCTTGGTTAATTCTATCACATCAGAAATACTTATAACATGTGTACTGAAAACAACAAAAAATGTTACAATGACAATAACATAGCTAAGGGTAATACATGCAGAACATTGCACTATACAATATAAAAAACTTCCATAAAAAAATAACAAATTCGAGATTTTGTTTCATTCTACAGATCATAATTACTTGTGAGGTAGGCCCTAAAAAAAAACAAAAAACATTGAATTAAATATATTTTGTTCTACAATTAATATAGATAATCGGTTGATTAATTATATCATGCTTGGCCAAAGCATTGACAAACTTGAACTCTGAAAATCAAAGTACACAGTCAGAGTATAAAAAGAATATTCTAAAGAGAAGATTACATATTGAAATATTTGTACTCATACCTCTTGTGGTAGTAAGTGTGGAATCAATTCTCGCAATGAAGCAAGTGGTGGTGGTAAAAGTTGGCCCAATGCTAAAAGTTCAAGGAGGCGAACTGTTGTCGAGCACAGATCTGGGCTAGGCCCAGCACTTCTTCTGGCAGCCCACTGAGCCATGAGGGTGGCAGTGAGAGCACGCAGGAGCACAGAACAGTAACAGAGTGCAGGTCGATGCGATGCCACAAATGACAATAATGCCCAGGTAATTGGTAATTCATCAAAACGTTGTCGAATACTGAGATCCCTTTCAACAGTTACTTTGCTGAATTCTTCCTCAGGCCATGGTAAACCATTGTACATGACATCAGGAGATAACAGTTCGACAAGCAGTAATGAAACATTGGTCACCGCATCCAGTGATGTAGGTAATGAATTTGGAGCATTTTGGTCACCTGAAAGCAGGATATTGCAACAGAACCAAATTTATATCTGGAAAGAACTTTTTGATTTTCTTTATTAAACACCCAAAGTACTAAAAATAAATACTTTTCTAATGTTTATAAGTAACAGATGTATGTAGTTTTTTATTAACTAAAGTTTTTCATGAAACTAGTTTTGTTGCCACATGCACTGAAAAAAGGTTACGTTTTTTGAAGATCACGCCATATAGTGACCAATAATTTTGCTTAAATAGAATGTAATATGTGGTACAATAGCAATGTTGTTACATCTTAATCATACAGGAAAATACACACAAAACTACCACAGTAAAATTCATGCAATATCACTCCAGGAAAATACACAGATTCATAATGACAAGGACTTCCCACATGCAATGGGAGAGAGGACAATAGACACAGATCAGAGAACATAGAAACAAAATCCAGAAATATATCAGAACAAATGGACTAAACAAACACATTTGAGCATGGATATGACTCATGAGATTAAATTAAGAGTACATAATATATCAAAATGAATACTCATTCATAGATCAGAATTTTGGACAATGCAAAGTAGAGATTGGCAATGACTGGACAACACTCAGACGAGATTTCTTTGCATCTTACTAGACTACATGTTAAGGGATAAGCAAGAAGTAAATGTATTTGCAAAAGGCTTAAAACAAAGAATGTAGTATAAGAAATAAAGGAAGGTTAGAAGAAATGGTTTTCTTACATCAGCAGAATAAGGCAAGGAAACTTCACAAAGATAGCATTGAAGTATACTGATAGGGCAAAGAGACATGGGGAGACCACACACCCACGTGCACACACACCCACACCCCCCACGACCCACCCGTGCACACACCCCACGCCCATGATATACGCTCCACTATAAACATAAAAAATGAATAAAAATCAAAAGAAAAAATAACATAACATGAAATTTAAAACAAAAAAACTATTAATGATTAGAAAAGATACTGTTCTGTTACAGCAAAAAATTAATCCACTATATATTATCAAGATTTATCAAAAGCATTCTCAGTAATTAGTATTTTTTTAACTTTTTTTAAATTTCATATTTTAAATATTTGGGATAACACATTAAACTCTTTAATTCCCACTACATTATGTCTCGTAACATTTAATTTCTCGTTGACTCTGAGATGTTTAGGTATTCTTTTGATGTTCTTAATATGTAAATATTGATCTTGAAGCCACACAATTATATAACAATGATTTTTCCATAAAATAATGTTTGATATCTATCACATTAACTTCTCTATATGGAAACATTGTGGGGGTGTAACACAGGCTTTTTATAAATAATTTTGATAATTTTTCTGTAATAATAATAATAATAATAATAATAATAATAATAATAATAATAATAATATAGTTTAAATGCATTAGTCTATAATTTAAAAAGAAGACAGAACAATAATATACCAGTTAATCCCCAAAAAACACCAGACAATCAGTCAAACTTTTTCGTAGATCAGAAACAGGACTAAAAACACACCAGAACTACTAGGAAACAGGAATAAGCAACATGCCCAGCAATCAGCAGTACATTCTGATGATAATGAACATGATCTCAATATGTACCTCATAAATGCTGTTGGGTATATTATTAATAAAATGGAATTTGTTATGAACAGATGAATGGTCCGAAGTTTTCAAGGAAAACAATAGATTACACCTAAAAATGCTTCGAAAATTACCAATCAAATCAAGTCGCAAAGCAACACATGAATTATGAACAAAAATAGCAAAGAGGGTTGTGGGCAACATTACATTGCAGTTTGTGGGCAGACTATTGAACTATTGAAATTTCCATAAGCAGAACTAAGTGTAGTGGAGACAAATGGCCAATAAAAATATAAATTAAGGAGCAAATAGATTTCAGAAAATAATGGCATCTCTTTAAGAGAATTTCTGCAAATTATAAGTTTGCAAGCAATCTAAATCAACCAACAGTAAAATTGGTTCCTACTCACCAGCAGTAGGATTTGTGCAACAGGCTTTTATGACATCAATCAATAAACTAATATTTTCTGATATGTCCTCTTGTGGGATAGTGTTTGCAACTGATGTATGGCGATATGGCCCATTACCAATAACACCTGCATGAAACATACTGGAATGACGATGGGCTAAAATTACACTGGTTCCCTGAAAGCAAAAGTAATTTTGCAATCAATTCACGTGACTATTTTTAGTTTTATTAACTAGAATTTTAGTGTGAAAGAAAGCTAAAATTCGTAAGTTCCTTAATTTTATCTGATTATGAATACAATTTTATTTAAATAGGTAAATATAACACTTGTTTGTGAGAAGAAATAAGAAAATACTAGCTGAACCCTTGCTCTTACATTGTACTAAAGGAAGAATTGTAGAAAAATTACAACTGAACATTTCCAAAAATAACCATAAATAAAATCAAAATCCTCCAAAATATTGTTTCAGGTCATTAAATTCTTATTCTCTAAGACTAATGAAACAAAGGAGGTTTACAAATTCTGGAAAAACATATTCACATTTACAGTGAACTGAGATTTAAACATATTTCTGAAAACTTAATAGAAACACTTAATATTTACTAAGATCTGGATATGTAAATTGAAGTGATCTATACAACCAAAGCCTGATTATTCACTTTAATTTAAAAATGTAATGCATCGCTTATAACTATAATCACTTCTTTGTGTGTTGTAAGGAGACAAGCGTTTCAAATGACTAGAAGAATGGCTGGACTTTCATTTATATGCATCACTAATATGCATTTAAATATTACAATAACACATCTGGGATCCACCGCCTTGCATTGAAAGTAAAAATCTTGAAATTTTGTTGGGTAAAAAGCTCAAATTTCTTAAAAATTAAAACATTTAGCTAATAAAAATAAAGATTATGTGGACTTTAGTTACATAAGCCTTTTTATCAAAAAGAGCAATTTACAAGAAATGATAAATTGGTGGTTAAAAATAAATTATCCTTCAAATGTTAATAAAAAGATGTTAAATAAAAACTTAATTATACACAAGACTAAATAAGGAGTGCATATTATGTACATAGATATTGCTGTCAGTTCTCGTCATTCTTGTAAATGAACAAACTAATTAAACAAAACGAACTAACAAAATTCCAATACAAAAATCATTTTACATCCAATGTGGCATTTTTCATCGTCCTCCAATAATGTACACAGAATCACTGCTTCTTGTCCTCTTTTTCAAACAGCAAATGTTTAAATGTCTATGGTACACTTAGATGTAGCCTTGATTTAGCCAGCTCATTAGATACATCAACTCCTTTTATGTTACATTACCTGTTTATGGTTTTCATGAAGCAAACGAACTTCTGGTGGCCGATCTTTGGAAATTTTTGTTGTAGCACCAAACAAATGTGTAGGTGCATGAAACAAGGCCCCTTCCAATAGTTCTCTGAGGGCTAGTGAACGAATTGCTGCTGAGTGAATGGCCAACTGTGTAAGCAGCCGACAACACACATTGGCACCTTTGAGTCGTACTACCCAATCTACAAAATAAAATAAAACAAACGTGAGGATGAACAATAGATTTAACTTGTCTAGAAACTTCTCAATTTGAAGGGTGAACATAAGGGAAAAAAAAATTCCATAAAAATTCTGGAATTTAAATGTAAGATATTGATAATTTGCAACTTAAAACAATTTTAGGAGATAAGGAGAGAGTGATCTGATCAATATTTTGCCAGATCAGTTCTTAAACAATGGTGTCATTCCTTAAATAGTGTGAAATTTGAAATATACATTTCATTATCTTCTCTATATAAAAAATACTAATGAACAGGCAATAGTATTTATTGAAATGGAAAAAAAAAAAAAAGTACAAATACACATACATATTAATTTTTTCAAAATATGTATGAAAAAATGAAAATTTGTAAATAAAATTCATAATAGTATTTAAAGTTGTTCCATGGATAGACATTCAAATTTTCAAACACAAAACATCACAATCAGAACTTAAAATTAATTCATAGTTTTCGATAGAAAGTTTTACCTCTACAGAAGTATTTATACATTTTAGTCTTCATGACATAATGAGTTTTAGTTGAAGTATAAAATATGTATGTAGTATATATAATATTGTTTGCGTGGGGATGATGTGCACGTGAACTGTCAGAATGCTAACCGTGATGGATCCTCGAAAGGCTCTTATGACATTATCAACAAAACAAAACCTTTCTATTTCATTATTGGACGATGCCCTCACTCAAATGTTGTCTGAAATTTTGTATTATTGGAAACTTTCTATTTTCATTTTTTGAAGATCTTAAAATGTGTGAAATATGGATCTGACTAGTCATTTATATTCTTAAACAGAAATTTTGGATATTGACAAGTTATTGCACTTGCAATGGAATTGTTAGAAATTTTGTTCTTTTTTTGTTAATCCAGAATCAGAATAAAACTATCAAATGAAACAAAGATACACGAAATGTACTCAAATATTCGAAAAATTGCACACAACCTAATTTCAAAATCTTATCTTTAAGAAGAAATTTTATCAAGGAGCAAATGTCTATCTTTAATATTTTAGTAGTAGGAATCCCTCAAAAAATTTTATTTCTTTTAAATTTTGCGAAAAAAAGAGTTTTTCAACCAACATGAGACCTGTGCCATTCTTTTGAACATCCTTTAGACTATCCAACACCAAAATTTAATCAAAATCAATGGTGCCAATTTTTTGAAAAGTACCAGAGGCATGTAAAAACAAAAATTAAAATATCAGTTTCAAATTCAAGGGGCTGCGCAATCAATCAAATCGATTGGGGAATATCAATTTTGGAGAAAATCGGCTGAATGTTTCAGACGCTAGTCTTGTTCATAGATGGAAGGATGAACAGAGACGTTTTGTCATTGTGAGATTTTCCAGTATCAAGGTCCCAAAAAACATGGATTCGGCTACACTACGTGTGTGAGGATTTTTTTTGCTAAATTTATTAAGTGGATTGATCGACTTTTTTATTACCAGGGCCCTGTACTAAGAGAGTTTTCTACTCCTCAGCAAAAAAGTAAAAGTACCATGAATAGCTCACGGACATGGGTATATATTTCTTTTGTGAGAGGCCATTGTACCTCTGCCACAAACATGTCATTCTTCGTGACCCTGGCATTACATGCTGAATAATGGCCTGGCACAAAAAGCAATGTGACACTGTCTCCATGATTTCCCAGGAGATCAGGTACAGCTCCTCAGTGTGTAGTTTGATTACATCCAGCACCCAATTGCCCTCTTGTTTTTGTGTATTTCAGCATGTTTAGGAGTGGGTGACCTTGCACACCTCCAGTCTGAAGACCAATATTATCTATAACAGGATTGTACAACTGGTGGCCTGCAGGGCTAGTTATTGTGGCCCGTGAAAGGTTATTAGTCAAAAGTGAAAGTCAGAAAGTCACATCTATGTCTGGGAGAAGATTGTGTGCCTAGCGCATGCTTCCTGCTAGGGTGAACACACCCTCATGTACAATAGGTTAAGTTTAGATTTGAGAATTTTTTTCAAGTTCAGAAATTCAAAATTATCCCAATGTGTTTCACAATGTTTTCAGGTACAGCATGATATCACACATGGTTCTATTCCCCATATCATTTCAGAACAGCTGGGCAAATTGCAGAGATAAACAATATTGGAAGTCAAGTTTGGATAACCCTAACAATGAAAATATGGTACAAAACCACATTAAAGATCTATATTGTGGCCCTTGAGTCCTTGCAAGTTGGACACCCCTTATCTATAATATTAATTCTGTGAGATGTAGCTGCAAAAGCAGCGGTGAGCACAAAATGAAACAAAACTGGCAAAAAGGCACATGTGTTTCTCAAGCAGTGAAGTTGGCATGTGTTTTGACACAGTGCCTAAAGCGAAACCTTACGTCAAGTTCAGCAAGTGTACATCAGCGGAAAAATTTTTAATATCTGAATTACAATTGTGTGTTGCAAATGTTTTCAAAAATTTCTCATTTATATTTATTATTCTGTGCATTCTAAGCCATTTTTTCCATCTTAAAAAGATATAACTGTTTTCTGAAGCATCATTTAGATATTACTTAAAAGTATTTTATTGACCCTAACTTAAAAAAACAAATTCTTCATAAACATTTTTTAATAACCGTGGCACTTTTTGACAAATAAATTATAAAAATAATGTTCTTATAAACTCTATAGATCACATTCAAAACCAATGAGCTTCTCGTAAGGTTTGCAACATAATCACCCCAGACCACTTCTAAATTTGTATTCCTCACCTTTCTCCGACACACAAAGGAAGAAATATGCTACAATTGCTTTTGTGAGACGAATCATGTGCTTTAATTTAGGCCCCGATAAGCGGCGATGGTTCTGGCCAAGTATGTCCACTAAATCTAATGTTGAAGCCACAGCATGTGCAACAGCCGGCTCTGGAGGGCACCGAAGAAGTTCAGAAGCTTCACGTAAGCAAGCACACACAGCATCTGATATGAGATGTGCTTCTAACGCTCTTGGTCTTCTGCTAATTTCCCATCTACAACAAACAGCATTAGGAAAAATTAATTACATTTAAAATGGGAGATTATCTGGAAATCCAAAAGCACAATTCAGTATTAACCCTTGACTATTCTAGATATGTTAATACGCAAAATATTTCCATGCATGGTAGCCTCTGGTTGAGTTATTACGCTCATTAAGGTTATCGCTGGGAACCTCTGAATGAGATTGTACGCAGAACCACGATGTCCTGGGAGCCGCTGGACGAGGTCACTGTAGACGGACTTTCGACTATCACGAAGACTTACTGATAATCGCTTTACGCAGTATCGATGTGTGAGCAGGCTCATCTCACAATGGGGCCCGCAGCGAGAAGCTTGATGCAAGAAGTGACTCATAGTGGCAGGCCCGTAGCAGTTAAAAGGTTAATAGAGAGGCTAGGTCCAAGTTTGGGTATTCACAAGTACACCTTAAATAAAATTGTATAAAAATAAGATGGTACTATCCTTCCCTTAAAACTGAAATTTCATTGAACACTAACTGTGTATCACTTGATTATTCAAAGTGAAACATAGTTTTGTTCAAATTCTTGAGTTTATCAACAAAGAATTGCACTCTTGGATCACTTATCAGGCACTCATATTAATTCTCGTTTTAAATATTTTGAGAAATTTTGTATACATTTAATTCATTAGTAAAAATCTCCAGGAAGGACATTTTGCTCACCTACGGGAGTCAAACTATATCACCTTTGTTTTTAAGTCTATGATCAAATGCTATAAATTATAGGCCTAACTTGATGGTGAACATAATACGAAAAATGTTTGAATCATACCCAGAAAGTTAGCAGCTTCAGTGATGTATCTGATAACATATGAGACATTTATATCCAAGTTCGCGGGTTCAAACTCTATTGAAACTGAGGATTTTTAAGGGTGAAAAAATTATTCATATACTTTCCTTTGAAGGGGAAGTAAAGCAGGCTGTAGCCATGTAGATTTACTGCATGTAAAAGATTCTCATGCCTAAAAGAAGCCTCTAAGCCAAATTCAAATTGCCTGTTTAGTCACCCAAGTAATGCTTACTTTCTCTGCTAAACAGTGAATGGAATTATGCAAAAATGCATGGTCAGACGGTACAGCAGGCCTGATAGCCTGAGCCTATGTTTGTTTATTAATGCATTCTAAAAATTTGTGTATGTTCTTATAAATTGGGCAATTCCTGAATTTATAATAAAATAAAATACATTTATATGCCCCTGAATGAGAGACCCTAAGAACAGTTGATAAACAAAATGTCAATTACTTTGGAAAATAATTAAAAACTTTTGGACACACAAAAACAAATTTATCTATATTGGAAAAAGTATAGCCTGGTTGCTATAGAACATAGATTCATCAGACAAAAATTATCATTCTTTGAACATAATGGAAGGAGAATAGACTGACTGGAGAACACCATGTTAGGAATAATGGATGGGATTAGGAGAAGGGCAAGAAGAACACTGGATTGGCATAAAGAAATAAAAAATTAACTGACATGGACAGAAGCAATGAATGGTTCAGAAAGAAGAGGATACAGAAAATTTACAAAGGAGGTGACAACAAAACGAAAGACATTTAAAAAAAAAACAGTTGCAAATGGCTCTAGGAATCATTAAGAATTGCTTATATACTATCTATGCATACATTTCAGATTTTTCGCACCATTCAAATCCAACCAACTTGGGCTGGAGCTGAATTCATAACCTGAGATTAGTAGACAGACATGATACATACTATTTCTCTAGAACCCAGCTGAAATATATTGAACCTTTATAAAGATTGAACTTACTTTAGCATACGTGCTAAGTTCAGCCAGAGTTGTTCGGATGCAACTTGACCAATATTATCATCTAAAATCAAGTCATTGTTTGCAGAGTTACGAATAGCTTGCTCCAATGCTTGAGCCAAATAGTTATTCTTGAAGCTGTCTCCACGCTCCTGTAATGACATGAAACAAATATACAATATCCTTTAAATCATATAGGGTCCACTTCTTCATTCTAATTCTCAAATCCTACTTCAGTTATGACAATTATCATGATATTGGAGTATGTGGACAATTACGTAATACAACTTAATTATCTTTGCATTAATTTAGGCTCAGGATGTGACATTGCTGTCTTAAAAAAAGTTTCAATGTTTTGATTGATTAAACATGATCATGTTTGTGCTTGTTGTTTAGTTTGTGTAAGAAAACACGATTTAGTGAGAGCTACGAAGTAGATTAATCACGATTTTGTGAGAGCTACAATATGACATAACTGATAATACCACTATCAGTTCACGTGTTCAAACAGTGTAAACACCTTCACTGATCAGACATCATCTACCACATTATTTACCTTTACTGAACAGACTATCTCTCCCCTGAGAGATTTTCCTCA